ATATAGGACAATGACAGTATTACAATTTGAAATGGAAGATCTTTAAAGTTGTATTAAAATAAAGTGAGGTCCAGTTACCAGCTGACTATAAAACAGTTGGTAGTTATGGCTACTTTTTACTTAAGTACATCTGAAAGCCCATACGTCTTGAGTAAAGACATTTAGTCAGAGTATTTTTAAACACGAGTATCTGTACTTCTACTTGAGTGAAGGATGTGTGTACTTTTGCCATCTCTGCTACTAGACTTTATGACCATAATAACCTGAGAGGCTCCAACAGCATCATCTGGGACCCAAAGCATGTTCTGAACTGAGAATATGAACTGCTACCATCTAATGGAGATCACTAAAGTCAGACTGAAGCATCCTTTGTGCTCCAGTCCATCCTCTCCGTAAACACAGAGCTGATCCCAGATCAAATGCACGCTGAAGGCTCTTTGAGCAGGTTTTCTCTCAGCGATTGTGCCGTTATGTTCAATGTTTCTTGAAATGATTTTTCTAACAGAATCGTATGAGTACCTCCATCTCCTGCAGGACGCAGTTGAAGCAGGCGGTCTTCCCGGTGCCGGGCGCTCCGGAGATGTAGAGGCTGCCGGGGACTCTCTGCAGGGCTTTGTCTCTCAGGAAGCACCGGATGGCGTCTCGCTCCACCTCGCGGGACAGAAGACGCTCGGGGAGGGCCGTGTGCAAAGCCTGCTTCACGCTCAGGAACCTCGACTCTGCAGGGGGAACAAGAGAGGAAGAGGAAGATGAGGTCAAATGCATCCTTATCTTATATGGACAGTCTTGCACTAATGTACATTCTCTAAGATATTGAAGTGACTGTTATTTTGTATATATTGATTGTTGTGTTTTTATTGATGTCTTAATGTGTGCATATGTATAAATGTGTCTTTTGATTTGATTGGTTATAAGAAGTGGATGTTGTCCAATAGGTGACCTTAAAAACAAATATTAGCGCCTCTTACTTTCTGCGAAGAGCCGAGCGACCGCATGTTTTCCCTCCGGGGTTCCGGCGGGAGTGTCCTGTCGCCGCGGTGACGACCCGGTGTTGGGAGATGATGGTTTCCGTGGCGACAGCGACGGGACCAGCCGGCGGCGAACGGAGAGCGGAGAGTTCTCGTCGAAGCTGAGCTTTCTGGGAGAATTCACGGCCGGCTTGCTCTGCTTCGGGGGGGAGCCGAGCAGCGAGGAGCCGCCCAGGTTACAGCCGTTATCGTCTCCTTCAAAATAAAAGAGGACACACGTTTAAATCTCCGGGTGAAGCTGGTGTGGAGGAACTTAACATCTTATCATTTAATTATTCTTTCATTGTTGTATTGATAAGCAAGCCAGGCCAACAACACCAACAACACCAGATTGAGAACAGTCGCTTTAATAAAAAAAAGTAGGGCTTATCCAACGTTGTTGTTGTTGTTTTTCATACATTTTATTTTGAAATATACATATACAGGTGAATTTTCCTCTAGCAAGACATGTAACAGTGAATACAGCAAATTATGGTGAAGTGTCTCGCCCAAGGACACAAAGTTATGGGTACTTCTTACTTAAGTACATTTCAAAGCCCATACTTCTTTACTTTTACTTGAGTAAAGAAGTTTAGTCAGTACTTCTACTTTCACCAGAGTATTTTTAAACACGAGTATCTGTACTTCTACTTGAGTAAAGGATGTGTGTACTTTTGAGGATCGTCTCACCTGTGCGTTTCCTGGGGCTGAGGGGGAGTCGTGTCTGCAGACGGGGGGAGGATGGAGGAGCTCTGAGTGAGAGAGGAGACGAGACGGCGGAGGTCCGGGCGACGGCAGGGCGTCTCGGGGACATCGGTGCGATGCGACCCAGGTTCAGGTTCTGGGTTTCGGGTTTTGAAGGTGAAGCAGCCGGAGACTCCTCTCGCTGCGGCGTCTTGCCGTGAGAGGAAACTCTGCAGGATTTCCGGCGAGGGAACGCCAGCGTGGGCTGAGCCTGGCCGTTAGAGCGCGTGCTGGGCATGTTGAGCTCAAACTGAAATATTAAAAAAAGGAAATGAATCCATTAGTTCATCAAAAAAGGTAGGGGTGTGTGAGAGGGGATTTTAAAAACATTTTAAAATGTCGGGTACGGAGGAAAAGAGAGGGTTTTATTTTCTGGCGCTGCGCGAGTTCCCTGACACACCGGGGACACATATTTATGTATAAAAGACATCAGAAAGTGCATTTTGCATGATAGGTCCCCTTTAAATAAAAGTACTGGTTGCTGGTCATTTTGGGTTCAAACTGAAACCTAATCCATAAGCACATAAATGATAGGGCTGTTAATAATGTGATTTTTGTTTTTACATTTTCTAAGGTTGGTGAACGAAGCTTCGACTGTCAGTTTTCAAATGTCATGCATTCAAACTCCTGCTTTAGTTATTAGCAGCAATGATGCTATAAGAACCAAAAACTAAATAAGTATGGGGCTACATAAATTAAGTAATACTCTGTTATACGAGTCCTGCATCCAAAAAGTACAACAGTACTAGTGTCACAATATACTAATAATCAAAAGCACTCATTTAGCCAATTTCAAGATATATTTAATATGATTAGATGTACTGATAAAGTAATGTGTTCATGTTTTGATGTTGCCGCTGTTAACATGTGGGGCTTATTCTGCCTAATGTACATACTGCTGGGTAGTGGAGACTCCATTGATATGTATAAAGTAGCATTACATGGAGATACTTCATTAAAACTCAAGTACTTCAAAATTGTACTTGAGTAACTTTCCTCCACTAGTTGATGGCATGTTGGTCGTGGCACTTGCTATCTTTCCCTAGCACACTTAGCAGTTGAAATCAACCTTAAAACACAACACAAAGTACTATGATATGATCTTTATGTTCCTTCTCATCCAAAGGTTGCAGTGTATGTTTTTGTCTAGACCAAAATAGGGTTGTTTTAGGTGTAAATGAAAGAGTACAATAAGGTTTTTGTGAATTGAATTCCTCAATATTACCACATGTTACACATTCTGATTAATCTAAAACAATTGTCACACACTTAATGCCATTATAGTAACCTGTCAAAGTTTATAGATCCTTATTTAGAAGTTGTATTTACTCTAAATCACCAGCAGAACAAACACTATAGTATGGTTGTCAAATGGCGCGAAAACGGTGGCGTTATCACAACGAAATAACCAGATTTCGCCATGAAAATGAATGATATTTCATCTAAAACATATCCTTTAAACACAAATACACCCCTGGAGTAAAATACATAACGTGAAAAATAAGCTACTAGGAGTATGTTAGACGATAAACCAGCAAAGCGAGTCAGTCAGTAGAATAACTATCTTCCGGTTCCGATTTACAACCATATTTCACCTTCCACTACTTAAAATAAAGAGTTAATGATATATTTACCGTTATAAATAGTAGCAGGAAGTCTTCTCAGTTGAAAGTAGAGTGTTTTCTCTTGTCTTACAGCCCTCTGAGTCTCTTTCTCTCCGTTGTCTTCGCACACTGAAGCTGAAACTTGCGCCAAATCTCTTTCAGCTCCTCCTCCGATGCAACAGCTGTGCTTGCTTCCCCCCCTCAGCTGCTCTCTGATTGGTCAGAGCAAACAGCTCCCCCAACGCTCATTGGCTGAGCGTTTCTGGCCGGACGTACGTCACGGTTTCAATGACCAGGGCAAGCGGTGTGGCGGGAGTTTAAATGGAACACTGTTTTCCCGGGAAATGTAATGTTTCAAAAGTCTGTAACGTGGCGCACTTTGAATGCCAGAGTCCGGGTTAAATATCACCATCTACTCAAAATAACTCACATGTGGTTTTAATGGTTTTACTGAGAGAGTATTTGTATTTAAAGCAACATTAAATAAACTCAAGGCCTGATTTGGATATTGTAAACAACAGTTATGAAGTAATCAGATACTTTAATGCAGCAAAGGTACAAATATCACCGTTTACACTAAATAATTCACTTCAAGGCCTGATTTGGATATTGTTAACATCAGTGATGAAAGAAGTAATCAGATATTTTTCTTCAGTAAATGTAGTAATGGCCTATAGCACAATGGAAATACTTCACTTTGAGTTAAAGTCCTGCATTTGGTTGAAGTAAAAGTATGTAATCAGCTAAATATACTTACGTATGAAAATACTCATTATTCAGTCAAAAGTTAACCCATAAGTGTTTTACTATTATATGATGTTCCTAGATTCATCGTGGTGTTAAGGAGATGTACTCAAGTACTGTAGTACACCTTTGAGGTACTTGTACTTTGCTTGAGTATTGAGCTACTTTGTACTTTTACTCCACTACATGTATTTAATACCTTTAGTTACTTTACAGATGTGGATGAATGATGTGAAATATAATCAAGTGTTAAATCAGACTTTAGTTCCACCTGGAGTAAATTCACAAGCTACCCTGCAGTATACAAAGTCATTCAAACTAGCTGCAGAAAAAGGCAGAAACAATTGTTGTGTTGGATTGAGAAACAGAGACACATGCAATACAAGTAATAGTATAATATATTTAAAAAGAAGCAAACTTAAAAGAAAAATCCAAAGACATCTGACACATGATTTCATACAGCATTCCTCCTCATTGATCGGCAGTGATTCAATCACACAACGATTATGAACATGATTGATTGAACAACAAATATTAAAATAAATAAAAACAGACTTATAAACTAGCTGGAGCCTTCATTTGTTTTTTTGCATTAGATCTATGAGAAAGGTTTACAGGAGTGTGCTCCTCCTTCAGGTTGGTGCAAGAACCTGTTGATGTGGTTTCAAGAGATCTAATCTCACTAAAGGGATAGTTTGGAGGTTTTGAATTGTTGATGTGTGTAAGGCACTTCACTTTCAGTCGTTTATCTACAGTAGGTGAGGGAAGAAGAAGGAGTAGCATCAGGAAGCTAGCACGTGCTAATCAGCAGTAAAGACAAAGTAGGCCGGAGCTCGATGGGAATGTCAGTAGTTCTGCAGGTATTTGGTCACAGTTTGAACGATGTTCCTGAGGAGGACTTGAATGTCTGCAGTCTGAGTGGAAGTAGAGATATTTGGTCATTTTGGCTCATTCCCCAACATCTCTGTCCTTCCCTCCTCTGAGCGTCTCCATCCATCCCTCTGAAAGAGAGAAACCAAGTTTGAGAGAAATGTCAAATGAAAAAGTGAAATAACAAATTCATGTCATCTCAATCTTACTTTATAAATCTAAAACTCAGACATGAAGCATGTGATATTTCATGTAAAGACAAAACTGCAATGTTTACAGCCAAAAAGCAGCACATGTGTTTCAGTGGAATAAAGCAACACCTACTGGTTTCACTGGTAATCTTGGTTTACCAAACATGCATCAGGCCTTATAGTGATGATCTTATATCCATGTTGTCATATGAAAGTAGATATAATCATAGATTCTGGATATTGTTATACTGCATATGTTCATTTGTATCTGCATGGTAGTAAAGGCTGAATTATAGTTGAGTGAGTTTCTGAAATTACCAAACAATTATTGCTGTTCAGTTATTTCTAAGCCATTATATTCACTTTACTGATGAGTCAAATCTAAACTGCAGTTACAAAATCAAGGGATATATTTGGTCAGACTTATTGTGATATTAGTTTTCCTCCATAACGTCCAGCCTTATGAAGCAGGAGTTGTTTTGTTTTTTAACTTACGGATCTTCCCACTCTTCAGAACCAGCAGAACAAGAGAACGCAGAGAATCAGGAGAACTGTGAGAATGATAGCAGCAAGACCAGCCTCTCTGTTTGAAGCATCTGGAATACAATCAGAGGAGATTTCAGTTTACAAGAAGAGCCAAGGTGATGCAGTTTCACATCAACTCCCACTATCAGACTGTCCTTTACCCAGAGGGACAAAGACACTACATTTTTCTACAGAGGTTTTTAAATAATGTACCATTTCTCTCTCCAGCTGGAGGTGAGGTTGTGCTGGAGTCGGTCCTCTTGGTCTGGTTCTCTTGCTCCTTTGTTACTGTTTCAAAGGAGAGAGGTCTTATTGAGGGACAACAGGAGTCATTATCTGCAGATTCATTAAGTGACTGTTCAACAAGAAAATGACTACAGGCCTTGAGAGAGTCAAGTGAGGAAAAAAACCTTTAAAAACAATAAATCTGTCAAAACCCTTTTCCCCTTCCTGTTTCTTAAAGTCATAAACACACATTGTAATGTTTAAGGTGAGTTTTGGGCTTTGAGTTTTGTGGGGTTTGTTGGTTGTTATCAAAAGATGCTGATATGCTGGTAATTGTTTTGCCTCTCAGAGCTTCCAGGCTGTTCAGTATTAGACTCTTACCGACGGTGAGGTGAGTCGAACATCTGACCTCTGGTCCTGGGAGATAGACTTCATAAGATCCCATTGTTAGACAGAGATACGTTGGAGATGGTCAGAGTCACGACTCCTCTGGTCAGGTCTCCATGATTCAGAGCGGTTCTGTCTCTGTACTCAAGCATCTGGGAATCAGGGTCGTCGCGCCGACTTCGATAAACATGAACGTAACGGGTGTGTCCTCTATTCCATTCCACTGTTGTAGAGGACAGGTCGATGGGGGGGTCCAGACGACACTGAAGAGTCGCTGATCCTCCCTCCACGGCCTGGACGGGCTGAGAGGGAAGACATGCAAGAGGCAGTGCTGCGGAGAAGAACATTTGGATGGTTTTAGAGCCTTTAAAGAAAATACTTAGTTTTAAAAGGTCCCCTATTATACTGTTCTTCATCAATATATTACAGGTCTCAGATATATCCAGAACCTGTCTCTGATTGGCTGAAACACCAAACAGATCATTGCAGCATCCCATAATCCCCTCTGTTTCAACCCTGTTTCCAAAGTGCTGATTCTCTGTCTGTTACTTTAGATGAAACTAAGGAGCCCCTCCCCACGCCCCTCTGATACCCCTTTCACACCAAGGCTTTTCCCCCTCTAGCTCCGTGCTAGAGCTTCTCTGGTTCAGAACCGGTTCTTCGGTTTAGCGCCGGCTCTTTTCACACCGCTCAGAGCCCGACTGGTGCTGCCGCTGCTGCGTCATGACGTCACAGTTTACGTCGCTGAGTTTCTCCCCAACGGAGCTCACCTCACAACAACAACGGGCCGGGGACTGCGTCGGGTCGATGATCGTGTTGCTTTTAATCATACGAAGCCAGATTAAATTAAATAACGACTTCTCCAACCTTATACTTTTCTCCAGAGTGCCGTGGTTCATTGTTTATTAATGTGTTTCAGCGGCATTTACCGACCGCTGCAGTGCTGGCTGCTCTTCAACGGGAGTGTATTCTCCCGTTAGCTCCGGGTTAGCTCACACGGCTCTAAAGTATTCACTGTCTGACTGTCACACAAGCAGCTGATACATATCCCCAGTTCCCCTTAAGTGAATGTGTGTCAGTCTGAATTGACGCTGTTTGGCATCACAACGCTGTTATGAAAGTTTCTCTGGTATAACATGGGTGATGTTAGCATAGCAACCGAAGCTAAACTGACTACTTGCTAAGCAGTTTTCTACAGGCACATTTTACCGGCGTATTTTTCATTATGATTCTACTTGTGATAGTCGGACATGACAACCTGTGCAGCCCATGTATTGATTCCATCCGATAGCTGCTATAATAACAAACAAAACGTCTGCCTGCTCTCCACAATGATCAATAACAGCGAACGGATGGTCAAAGTAAGGTACAAATAAACAGAATCACACGAAGCCTGGTTAGTGTTGCCTGACTTTATAAAGCGTGTTTTTTTTTTTACAAGTGTGTGGTTGCGTTCTAGTCCCTTTGCTCAGCACTACTGCTTGTTACAACTTTTATTTGCCGTACTCGCCTTAACTGTTAGCTCAGGTTAATCTCGCCCCCCTCCGACGTAAGCGGTTCTTGCTTCTACACGGACAACTTTTTGGTGCTCGAAACGAACCGGATTCCGGAGCTTAGAGGCTGCTCCGCTGCGGTGTGAACAGGAAAACCCGGTGCTTTTCAAGCTCCAGCACCGAACCGGCCCCGAAACACCGTTGGTGTGAATGGGGTATACCCATTCACACCAACGGTGTTTCAGGGCCGGTTCGGCCATCCCCACGCCCCTCTGAGAGAGATTTGGTTAAAAAGAACACAATGGTGCTCTAGGAGGAGATTCAGGTGATAAGGTGGGGTGGGGGGGGTTACCTTGGTTGCTGATTGGCTAATGGTTACACAAGCCAAAACATCGTTATGACATCATAAAGTGGCCAAAATCTGATCAGCTCATTTTCAGACAGGTTTTTATATAAATGGATCAGGACAAAAAGAGAGAATCTTTGTTCCTGAAACTTTCAGAGTCTCTTTAGAAGAGACATGAAGAAGAGGGGACACATGTTGATGTAGAAGAGACATGAAGAAGAGGGGACACATGTTGATGTAGAAGAGACATGAAGAAGAGGGGACACATGTTGATGAAGAAGAGACATGAAGAAGAGGGGACACATGTTGATGTAGAAGAGACATGAAGAAGAGGGGACACATGTTGATGTAGAAGAGACCTGAAGAAGAGGGGACACATGTTGATGTAGAAGAGACCTGAAGAAGAGGGGACACATGTTGATGTAGAAGAGACATGAAGAAGAGGGGACACATGTTGATGTAGAAGAGACATGAAGAAGAGGGGACACATGTTGATGTAGAAGAGACATGAAGAAGAGGGGACACATGTTGATGAAGAAGAGACATGAAGAAGAGGGGACACATGTTGATGTAGAAGAGACATGAAGAAGAGGGGACACATGTTGATGTAGAAGAGACATGAAGAAGAGGGGACACATGTTGATGTAGAAGAGACATGGAGAAGAGGGGACACATGTTGATGTAGAAGAGACATGAAGAAGAGGGGACACATGTTGATGTAGAAGAGACATGAAGAAGAGGGGACACATGTTGATGAAGAAGAGACATGAAGAAGAGGGGACACATGTTGATGTAGAAGAGACATGAAGAAGAGGGGACACATGTTGATGTAGAAGAGACATGAAGAAGAGGGGACACATGTTGATGTAGAAGAGACCTGAAGAAGAGGGGACACATGTTGATGTAGAAGAGACATGAAGAAGAGGGGACACATGTTGATGTAGAAAAGACATGGAGAAGAGGGGACACATGTTGATGTAGAAGAGACATGAAGAAGAGGGGACACATGTTGATGTAGAAGAGACATGAAGAAGAGGGGACACATGTTGATGTAGAAGAGACATGAAGAAGAGGGGACACATGTTGATGTAGAAGAGACATGAAGAAGAGGGGACACATGTTGATGTAGAAGAGACATGAGGAAGAGGAGACACATGTTGATGTAGAAGAGACATGAAGAAGAGGGGACATATGGTGATGTAGAAGAGACATGAAGAAGAGGGGACACATGTTGATGTAGAAGAGACATGAAGAAGAGGGGACACATGTTGATGTAGAAGAGACATGAAGAAGAGGAGACACATGTTGATGTAGAAGAGACATGAAGAAGAGGGGACACATGGTGATGTAGAAGAGACATGAAGAAGAGGGGACACATGTTGATGTAGAAGAGACATGAAGAAGAGGGGACACGTGTTGATGTAGAAGAGACATGAAGAAGAGGGGACACATGTTGATGTAGAAGAGACATGAAGAAGAGGGGACACATGTTGATGAAGAAGAGACATGAAGAAGAGGGGACACATGCTGATGTAGAAAAGACATGAAGAGGATTTTGCATAATAGGTGACCTTTGAGATGCGTTGGTGGTTAAATCACATCATGTAACTGTTAGAGCAAAAGTGGCACAGCAGATACAAAAGAAAAAAGCTTCAATAACTATAATTACAAAATGTAGTACATTTAAAAAGACATGTTTCTTATTGAGCTTTCTTACCAGCAGAGGCCGCTGAGCATCGATCTGACCTCAGTTTGAAACTTATTAGACTAAACTTAGCTTAGAGGAAAGTAGAGAGCCTATCTCTGCTCTAACAGCTCTCTGGCTCTCAGGTGTTATCTTTTATATTTTAAACTACAATCTGCTCCTTGAATAGCAATTCAACATGGAAAGTAACTTAGTAGCATACATCTCCTTAACCACTGTGCTTAAGAACACTTCCTATATATACTGTACTGTATATTTATACAGTCTATGGTAGCCTACTTTACCCGAGTACTTCTGCTGCTCTATACCTCTAGCTCTAGTCCACTTCATATGAGACGGATATAATGTACCTTTTACTCCTTCATTCAGCTTTACTTTCAAGCACCTGAACGTCATTAGGTAACATCCCAATAACACACACACACACACACACATTTTCCTAACGTTAAAAACTCAAAATCTTACTTTAAAAAAAGAACTTCTGCTTCTACTTTTTTTATTTATATTAGTTTATTTTTTGCAATAAAGCCTTTAAATCTGTTAATCCTGACTCCAGGCTCCTTCCTGCAGCGACACAAACACTCCACTAGGTGTCACTGCAGCTCCACGCATGCTTCCCTTCCTGCCCTACTTTTTACTGAAGTACATCTGAAAGCCCATACTTCTTTACTTTTACTTGAGTTAGACGTTCAGTCAGAGTATTTTTCCACACGAGTATCTGTACTTTCACTCGAGTGAAGGATGTGTGTACTTGTGCCACCCCTGCTACTATCAGTGCTACTATCAGTGCTACTATCAGTGCTACTATCAGTGCTACTATCAGTACTACTATCAGTACTACACACACACACACACACACACACACACACACACACACACACACACACACACACACACACACACACACACACACACACACACACACACACACACACACACACACCTGAGTAAATGTGCTGCTTGAAAACTAGATTGGAAGTGACTAAAATAAAATCGATGTCCTGTATGACAGCGTTGCATGCCAACACACACAACTTACTGTAAAGGAGGAACAGGGTTGTTGTGCTAGTGTTGAGCACACCTATGACTCACACATGCATGCAGCCACACGTTCACAAAGATTGGCAGATTTTGACAATTTAGGAGTGGTTTTGAGGTTAATTGAGGATGCTGAGTCCATTTCTGACATTTTCATTATCAAAAATGGAAGTTTCAACCAGAACATTTCCATATTTGTACTCTCGATGGGCTGATTGGGATTAATTTTGGGTCGATTTTGAAGGTTTAGGTGACTCTGGATCATTTGGATTGGACAGATCGCCTATTTAACAGTTGAGGCAATAATTGTCATCTTGTTCTCTCTACAGTAGATCCAATGGTCGCAACACTCTGGTAGTCAAAATCAGCGCACTGCAGTCCTGATCATAATACATTTTCAGAAATGGTATTTAAATAATGCCACTTTATTTTAATAGAAAATGAAACGGAATGGACCTGTGCTGCTTTATTTAGAAAATCTCACATTTGTACCTTTTTCTCCCATTAAATCATCTCTTTTCCCGAGTATTTGGATTTTATACTTTTACTACATTTTGAAAGCAAAGATTGTACTTTTTAATCCACTTACTAGTTACTTTATGAATTCAGATTTACACACAGATGTAGAAACAACACCATTTTAAAATATGGGGGTTAGTGTATATTATTAATACAATATGAATATATAAAGCACATCTCTTCTCTATTTAAACTTATCAAGCTAATGCACCGAATCTTTTCTTTAAGGGTTAAAACACTTGGCAACACAAGAGGAGAGCACATGTACTGTCCAAACACTCTATGCCAATACAAGAACAAAGCATTGGATTAAAAGTTATGCTAAAACGATGAAAGTACTTTAATGAAACCTAATCTGGATCCAGATCATGCTGGCCAAAGTAATAACAGATATTCTAAATGTAATGGGCACTGACAGTGAAGCGAGAATAAAGAATCACACAACCTCTTAAATTAATAATCCGGTCTTGTTTTTTGTGAGAATTTTGAACAGGTAAAAAAACACTTACAATAGTTAAAGCATCCTGATATAAAAGTATGATTTTCACTCAAATGTAACTGTGTCCTCAATAAGCAGACTCTCAAATTAAGTTAGCAACTCACCCAAGATATTTTCAGCAACCAGCAACAAAAGTAAGAGTTTCTTCATCATGAAGCCCTGCTCATTCCTCTAAGACATGCAGTGCCTTTCTCCTGCCTGCTATGTATGTGTGTTTTACTCAGCCTCTCAGTCTCTTCCTCTTTTCCGATGTATGCGTGTATTACTTTTGTTTAGCATCAGTAGCTTTCTCGCTTGCTTCCTTTTTTTCTACTTTCTTGCTTCCTTTTTTTTCCTTTCTCATTGTACATTTCATCCCTCATGTATATTTTCTACTTTCTTGTTTATTTATAGCCTTTTAATTTGTATTGGACATTGCCATGTTCTTTATGCTGCTGCACCACAAACATGTCCCAGATTGGGATCAATAAAGTTCTTCTTATCTTTCTTTATGTTGGGATGATAATAGGACTCCACTACCATCAAAAATCAAATGTAAAGCTTTAGGGCGGAAACTGAATTAGTGAAGAAGCACGCAGCCCAACATTACAGTTAAAAAACATTATCAGAATCAACTCAATTACTACCTGCATCACATGTCAGACTCTTTATGACTAATTTCATCTCTTAAACATCAACATTTTCGCTGCGGACAAAAACTGTCTGCTCTCAGTCTCGTCTCAAAAATACTAACTTATTTAATCCAACAAATCAGTTCATTAAAAACAAGGATTTTCCTTCCAAAAAAACTCCAATAAAAGCTTTAAAGGGGACCTATCATGCAAAATGCACTTTCTGATGTCTTTTCTATGTAACTATGTGTCCCCAGTGTGTCGGGGAACTCACGCAGCGTCAGAAAATAAAACCCTCTCTTTTCCTCCGTACCCAAATCTTCCCTGACACACAAGTTTAAGTATAAAAGACATGAAAAGTGGATTTAGCATGATAGGGACCTTTCAGTGGGCTCTGAGTTGGAAAGGGTTGGGAACCGCTGCTCTAGTTTAAGTTAGTTTAGACAGTTACTCACACAGCGGGCCCCGGGGCCGTCAGGAACCTCTGCAGCCCGCTCTGTCCTCCAGGAGCCTTCAGTTTCTCCGCCAGCAGACGGAAGATGGCGTGAGAGCTGCGCAGACTCATGCAGTTCACCAGCACCGTCTGCACCGAGGAGAGCTCCGGCTGCACGAGGAGAAACACAGTTATTAAGATGCATTTTTATGTTTAAGAAAATGTATAAAGAAAGCGTAATTACACAGTATGAAGTTGACTTTTGATTGTGTTCTGGTTTTATGTTTCAGTATTTGTAAGCAACTGTGACTGAAAGAATATTGCTTTTATTTTACTTTTTATGGTTATTTCATTTTGTAAGAAGGGGCAGGTAAAATAAACTCCTTTCCACCATGCACTATAAAAAACAACAACCAGTATTACTGTGCATACATTTGATCCTAATCTATATAGTTAACTTCTGTATCTACTTGAATTTCTTTTTATATATTATTTTTTCCATAATTATGACAGTAAAGCCTAAATCTGTTATCTTGACTCCAGACAAACTCCCCTCTCTCCGGCAGAAACAGGAAATGCCGTAACTGTATGTAACAACGGTTTCAAATCAGCATCTCTTAGACAAAAAAATGTAAATTAATAACTAAAATAAAACTCCAAACATCTTTAATTGTGTTACTTTTTTGTAAAGCTCTTTTAGTTTTAAACCTGATGTTTATAAGCTTCTTAGTTTTTGCAACAGTCTGTAAATATACACAACTTTATAATAAAATGCACATTTACCTTTTTCTAGACTAAACTAAGCGTGTTTCATTCAATACGGCAAAGTGCCTGATGTGATGCCTTCAGGAACAATTACTAAAATAAACGCTCTGTATGATGTTGTCATTTTTTTTTTTTTAACTTTGACCATATACATGTCGAAATAAGAAGCAATTACCCTAAAAATGTCTTGATGGCAGCTGTGAACCCTGTTTTGGAGAATCTAAAGAAAAAATACACAGGCTTTATGAAAAACGGTAGACGGTCGAAAATGTAACGCAATGATATTCAGATTTGCGAGTGCACATTGAACGTAACATGGAACTTTTTTGGATCATATCCATGCCCGCAAAAGGTGAGAAAACGCGCATGTCTCCGTCACTATAATCACGGGTCGTTTCTAATTTCTCTAATGTGTATTCCTGGCAACAGTGGGGGATATGATACAGGCATTAAAACCTGTCATTTAAACCGCTTCTAATTTGGATTTCATGCAATGAACCCAGACACAATGGTCTAAATTGGAGAAGATAAAAAAAGTATTGTTTAAAATAGTTAGTAGATAAAGTAGTGTGTGCTATCCGTCCTGAAAGAGAAACCCTTCCTCTTTTTCAGTTTTCCTGTTAAAATGTTTATTTTGGGAAATTTTTCATACATGAATCGAGCGTCTGAGGACCGAGGGTGCCACTGCCATACGTTTTACAGATTGCAAAGCGCCCAGCGACAAATGTGTTATTTCGGCTATTGAGGTAGATATATATTAACAAACAGAGTACAACATTCAAAACAAAACAAATCCAACAACAGGTAAATAAAAAGAGAAAAGGTCCAAAGCAGTTTTCTGGCAAATATATAAAACTTTATCAAAACGACTTCATATTGGACATTTTCAAGAATAGAGGCAGTTTGGACAGGTTCAAATAGAGCTGAATGAACAAAGCAACAAACAGTTATTTACACACATAGACAAATGAGGACATAAAGAAACATTCAGATAAAACTAACAACCAGCCACTGTCCAACAGAAACAAGAGTCACATTTTGAATGCAGGACTTTTACTGTAACAGAGTATTCCTACACTCTGGTACTTCTACTTTTACTCAAGTACAAGACCTGAGTACTTCTACTTTTACTCAAGTACAAGACCTGAGTACTTCTACTTTTACTCAAGTACAAGACCTGAGTACTTCTCCAACAAGCAAAAAGAAAAATCAAAAGACAACTTACACACAACTTCAAACAGCAGCACTCATTGATTGGCAGCGTTTCCCACCACGGCCTGATTGAACCACACGTATTAAAATATATAAAGCCTTCACCTTCAGTAGTTTATCCTGTATATTTGTACCTCTGCCAGTAGGGAGGATATAATATCTATCTGGTTCGTTTTTCAGCAGGAAAATTGAACATTTAGCAGCAGGTAACTATTAGGGATGAGAACGATTCATCGAATATTCAAAATTATTCAGGTATTCGAATATGAGTTATGAATATCTTTATTGTAATCTTTGTTTTTTTTGGGAGGGGTGCCTAAGTTGATTACATATTATCGAATGGAATAATTCAATGTATACGACAGTGCCATAGCTAAATGAGTTAGGTCTAAAGGTGTGTGTTGCTCCGCTCACCGGTCCCTCACAGCGGGCAGAGCTGCAGGTGCTGATCTCTCTCTCTCACGTCCGGTTATACTTCACTCACGTTTCTGTCCAAATCCATCAGATCTAGTTCTAGCTAATGATACGGCTGCTGCCCCTCCCTACACGCAGATCACACAGACTCAAACCTCATCTTATGCCCACATTCCAGCTGAGAGGGTCTTCTCTACAGCTGGCCTGATTGTGAATCGCCTCCGCACCCGCCTCTCCCCTGAGTAGACATGCTCATATTCTTAAACAAGAATGAGTATTGAATAGCTGCATTCTGTGCATAGGCCCTGTTATAGGTTGTTGATCTCTGTTGTGATAGGGTTACGTTACCCTAACCCGTTATGTTGTTCGTGTATGATCCCTCTTTCATTTAAAAACCAAGTTATGTTTTAAGCATGAAAGCTGCAGGCCTATAGCTGTCAACTGTTCAAACTGTGATCACCAGTTCAATACATTTGACAAATTTGACTTGGTTTCTATACTTATTTGAACATGTATTTATTTATTTAAAATATATATATATATATATTTTTATAGGATATGTACATTTCGGTTAACCGTCTTTTGGGGGTCGAATATTCGAATATACATTTGCTTTCAAATTCCCATCCCTAGTAACTATCAGACAGAGGTTTCTGACTCGTCTCTCTGCAGGTCTCCAGTTTCTGCGTCCGTGTTCAGATTTTTATTTTCGCATTCATTCCCCACCGTCTCTGTTTGTCTGTCCTTCCCTCCTCTGAGCGTCTCCATCCATCCCTCTGAAAGAGAGAAACCAAGTTTGGGAGAGATGTCAAATGAAAAAGTGAAATAACAAATTCATGCGTCATCTCAATCTTACTTTATAAATCTAAAACTCAGACATGAAGCATGTGATTATTACGTCCAAAACAGTCGGGCAACGTTTCTGATAGTGCTGTGGGTCCGCCGCCGATATGACGTCATATCGGACGCAAATCTGGATCAGCTCCGTTGTAGCCCCGTTTTTAGAGATTTGGGTACGGAGGTAAATGATAGTTGGATGTGGTTTTTGCGGTGTGTTCAAATGTTTTAGGCACGTCCAGCGCAGCACCTCTGCATGCAAGGCACTGATATTTCTAGTGATGGTTAATATCACTTCACTAGGAGGGCTTGATCAGAAACAATATTCTAAAATGAGAAACCCTATCCTCTAAACAGAGTGAAATACAAATGTAAAACATTTCAGTCAGAGGTCAGCACACTTCTAGAGACGATGCAGAGGGATTCTTTAGTACGAGTCAATACATGGGCTTCTAGGAAATCCTACCCTACGTGCATTTAAGTTCAGAGTTTCAGTAAGATTCACAAAACTGATAATACAATACTTTAGAGCAGGAACTTACGGATCACTCTACGTTTCCAAGAGACAACGACAACGACAACGACAGCAGCAAGAATTAGGACACAGGGGAGGACAGCTTTCCGGACATCGTTCCTCTTCTCTGCATCTGAAGGAATATGACACAGAGTTGAGATTCGAGGAAAACCCTCAGAAAAAGTCATTCTTTTGATATGCTTTACGCCTAGATTCCACCGGGTCCGTCTGCGTCGCGTTCAGGCCGCGCCGCGGCGTTCGCAAAGATCGCGGCCACTCTAGTCAATGGGTGCTATTCCACCAGACGCGCCGCGTTACGGCTCAGAAGCGTCCCAGAAGCGTCTCGGCGCTGGTCTCCGCTCAAAATAGGATGCAAGTCTATTTTCGACGCGAGGCGTTGCGTTGCAGAGGTGCCGGGCAGGAAGTGGAACGATCAGAGCATCCAGCCCATCCCCAAAATAAACTAATTTTGCAGACCCTATCCCTCCGTAGTCTTTCAAGTAGGAGGAGAAATGCCAGCGTTCTCCTCCGGTTTACAGGCACTGTGTAAATTATATATATAGAATAATTATGATGATGAATGCATCTTTGATTCATGTCGTTTATAACTGGACTATTACAGTTATTATTAACTTTGTCTGTACAAAGTAGCCTGTCCAGGAAATATGCCCAAATCAACAAAAACTGCGAGCCGGCAGGCAAGACGCTCCGCTTCTGAAACGCGCCCGGTTGGGTATGACGCCGGAGGAGGTCGGACCAAAACCGCGACTCAGCCGTGACGCGACGCAGACGGACCCGGTGGAATAGAGGCTAAAACTAAGGACAAATAAATACAAAAAACATACTCAAAAATCGAACTGATGCCGGGGCACCAGATAGCAAATCGTACGCAGCTAATAATCCATTTTGCAGGTAATTATATATTTGTTATATGCAGTTTATTCAAATGGGCCAAAGCACAATGAACAACAACCTTTACCTACTTCCTCCCTGCTGCCTTCCCTGGTAAATAATAAGATAATATGCCCTTTCGGGTTTAGTAATCCCTCCTCTGCCTGTCTCCAATAAATTCCTAAATAACCCGGTCTAAATCACGCATGAACAACTACTCTGATTACCTTAAATAATGACAGGAAATACATTATTCATTTACTTTAAAACAAAACACAGCAAGATAATGATTTATATATTTTTCTGAAGACAGACTGGTATTTATTTCTTAAAAACCGGTCAATTATTTTTATTTTTGTTCTCAGAAACCACGTTAAGCTGCTTTTTAAAATATATATACGCAGGTCGCATTCACACCTAAAGTCACTTCTCTGGTGCGCACCAGACGACAGTTTGTTACATTGTTTCATTTGTCAGAAGGTTCGGTTTGCGTTCACACGGGAAAAACTCAAACGGACTATAAACTTTAAACACAAGTCATGTGCTCAGAAATGCTGTTCAACCATTGGTCAGACATTAAGGGGGTAAAAACGCAAATCCCGGCAATTTCTACCGGAGCTTTGGAGCATCGGCAGGTTATTTTCATGCTGCTGTTCATCTGGAGATCAACAGACTCCAGAGGCCGGCGCATATGATTATATAATCAGACGACGTCCGTTAAAAAACATTACAACCCAAACAATGAGACGTTCTGCAGTCAGGAGGAGGTTTCACCGACGACAGGTGGCTCTGACTTTTATGTATAGTTTTTAGTTTGATAGTTGTTTTTACTTCACTTCAGAGGTCTCAGACTGCGCTCACACCGACCCAAACGAACCAAGCGGGTAAACGCACCAGGGTTCAACCGGACTAAACACGGCTGGTGTGAATGCGACTTTAGAGTGGTTTGTTTTTGTCTTAAATTGTGTCATTTGATAACTGTTTCTTGATAGATGATCAGATATACTGTGATATCAGATTTTAGCGATATTGCTCGCCCCAAATCTATAGTGCGAGGCTCCGACATTCATGTTGAGAGAGAAGTGAATCAGAGGCAATTTGAATGCAATAATTAAAAAGACCTGTACCAGGATCTCCTTCAGCTGGAGGGGCAGGTGATGTGCTGGAGTCGTTTCTCTTGTTCCTCGTCTGCTCGTCTCTGGGTGCTGTTAAAATTAAAATAAAGACAAAAATGTTCTTAGAACTCGGAGAAAAACCACAGAACAAAATGTGTTCTTTAAAGCTGGATGTGTGTCCATCTGCCCCGAGATGTGACACGTTAAAAACATAGATACATGTAGTTAAATCTATCTATCTATCCATCATTACAACATTAATCCTTTACGTTAGGACTCAAATAAGGAGTTGATATCCCCAAATCTGACATAGGTTAAATGTTGGGAAAATACAGAATGTCCTCTTCAAATATGAGAGTAACATGATAACAAAGGTATCCCAACTGTAGCTGTGTACATGACAGGATGTATGATTACCTAGAAGAGCATCAGGACTGTTTGAGGCATATGATAGCTATGTGATTAACATGATGATTCAGCCTCTATGGAGATAGACATATGACAAGCATGCTCATTTCTGACGTGGAGCTAATCTGAAGTAAACATTGAATACTGCTTTCTATTCCTCCATCTTGTGGCTGTGTAACTCCCTCTCTTGGATATCAGCATGTGAAGGACACTGTTCAGGAACTAGTTGATGCTCTGTATGGGATGACTACTTCCATTCTGGAGAGGATCACAAATACATGGATCCTGAGATTGAAGCTCAAGCCGGTGACCAGTGATATTTTTCTAACATTAAGTTTCCGTATTGAACTCAGTGTGCTTACCAACGATGAATTCGACAGAACACTTCAACTCCAAAGTGTCGTCGTGGCCTGCAAGCTTTCCAATTACGACACCTTCGTAGTTTCCGCTGTCAGACGGAGTCACATTGGAGATGGTCACCAGCAGGATTCCTCTGGCCAGGTCCTCCAGGCTCACAGAAGTCCTGTGTTTGTATTGAGCATCTGCTGCGTCAGGATCAATCCATCCTTTATGTCGAGAGAAGAGGACAGCCTTGGTGTCGTTAACGGTCCAGTGCAATGCTGTAGGGGTGAAGTTTTCGGGGCGATTGAAGCGACACCAGACTGCAGCGTTTTCTCCTGAAACCGCCTGGATCATCTGAGGGCTGGCAGGACGAGGCGCTGCTGGGAAACAAAGGTAACAACTTTTACACTTCTGAAGGTTTACACCACGTCCAAACAACAAGGCAAGTAACATGTAAAACATTCAGACATTAATGGCGCATTTCCACTACACGGCCTCGCTCGGTATGGCTAGGCCTCGTTAGGACTGGCTCACTTTATGGCGCATTTCCATTACAGTTTAGGAACTGGGGCAGTATCTATAGTAACGCAGTGTAGGCGGAGCCGTGACGTGATCTTCAGAAAACCCCAGAAAAACAACACAGCCGTTAGCTGTTAGCACTCAGAGCTCACAGCTCCTTATATCTGTTCAGAAACTAGACAAAAGTTAAACAAGTACACACCACAGACTGCCTGTGTCATGGTGAATACAGTCGCTGCTTTATTTATGTCTGTATAGGCCGTTGTTGTGAGTGTGGACGGTCGGAGCATATACTGCGTTAGCTTAGCCAATCTCCATCTAGAAAACAAGCATTTTAAAAGGTTTTTCGCCTGCCGTCTGTCTGCAGACTTGACAAAGCATTAATTCATGGTTTTTACTAACCGGTATTAGTATGTTGTTACTTCGGCATCATTTTGAAACGTGTATTACAATTAAATCATGGTCAAATATGTCCATCTTGTTGTAGTTGTAGCCCCCTTGCCAGCGATGCTCTCTCTAGTTTAGCATACTCAGCCCGACTCAGCCTCGTTGTCTCTGGCCCTCGACCCGCAATTTTATGAGGCCAGAAAAACTGTGAATTAGGACCCGCCGGCCGGTACTAGGCCAAGTGGAAACGCAACCAAAGACGGGCCGCTGACGTCACAGCCCTCTTAAACCGTGCTCCGCGCTGTAGTGGAAACGCGCCATAAGGTTGCATTCACACCTAAAAGTCGCTTCTCTGGTGCGCACCAGACGACAGTTTATTTCATCGTTTCATTTTTCAGAAGGTTCGGTTTGCGTTCACACGGGCAAAACTCAAACGGACTATAAACTTTAAAACACAAGTCATGTGCTCGGAAATACTGTTCAACCATTGGTCAGACATTAAGGGGGTAAAAACGCAAATCCCGGCAATTTCTACCGTAGCTTTGAAGCATCGGCCGGTTATTTTCATGCTGCTGTTCATCTGGAGTACAACAGACTCTAGCAGACTGATGATGATTATATAATCAGACGACATGCGATAAAAAACATTATAACATATAATGAGAGACGTTCTGCAGTCAGGAGGAGGTTTCACCGACGACAGGTGGCTCTGACTTTTATGTATAGTTTTTAGTTTGATAGTTGTTTTTACTTTACACGACACTGTTCTTCATTCTGCTTCACTCTTTCACTTAAGATGTTGAAGACATCCACGTTCTTGTGACTCGTAAATACTACGCTTCCTGTGTTTTGGTGCGGACTGCGTTCACACAGAGATGATCCGCTCCAGAGTTCACTAGCAAGCGGTCCGAGACCACCTCTTTTAGGACCAGAGTCCGGTTGTTTAGTTCACTTCAGAGGTCTCAGACTGCGCTCACACCGACCCAAACGAACCGCACCAACCGGACTAAACACGGCTGGTGTGAATGCGAACTCAGACACAGTAGAAACTGACATTTAAAAATAGTCACTAAGGAGCCAAAAAACAGGATAAAATACAATTTCAGCTGAATATCAATATATTGTCCAGCTTTAGCTCCATCTCTTGTCCCGAGATCCACTTTGATAGTCTAGATGCACTCTCCACACACAACAACAACAACAACAACAACAGGTGCTGCAATCTCTTTCCTGCATTTCAATCATCTCAGCTACAGAGTTTTATTTGCTTTTGCCTGTTATGAATATGTGAAACAAGCACAATGCATAAGCATATTCTGTATATTCTGTAAAGGGTTTAGTTAACGTGCCATGATTCAAATGAAACAAAATCCAACATACCAAGCAAAAAACACAGTAATGGCGACTGTAATTCACAATTTTGTCTCTGACCAACGTCAAAAACCTCATAAACACAATCTATGGAGCGACAGTAAAAGTAGTCGTTGTGCAGATTGGTCCATTTCAGAATAATATATATGATATGTTTCATAATGATTGATCATGAAAGTGTTCTCAAAGCTGGTAAAGGTGCAGCTAGTTTGAATGACTTTGTATACTGCAGGGTAGCTTGTGAATTTACTCCAGGTGGAACTAAAGTCTGATTTAACACTTGATTAGATTTCACATCATTCATCCAGATCTGTAAAGTAACTAAAGGTATTAAATACATGTAGTGGAGTAAAAGTACACCATTTACCTCTGAACTGTAGTGGAGTAAAAGTTGCAACAAATGAAATACTCAAGAGCAAGTACCTACACATTGTAGTAAAGTACAGTACTTACAATGTAAATGTACTTTACACCACTGCGTGTCATTAAAAAATGCAACTATATCCAACATAGGCTACCAAGTAAAAAAGAGACAGTAATGGCGACTGTCATTACCCATTTTGTCTCTGACCAACGTGAACAACTTATATATATAATCTATGGTCGATTCTTAAATTCAAAGTAGTACATTAAAGACTTGAACAGAGCGCATACTGTCAATGTCAGGTTTATAACATCATAATAACACGTTTTAGGTAAATAACAACACACTAATGCACGCGCAACCGCACCAACCTACACCAGAGTTGACATGTAACTTTATAAATTAACTTACCCACGAGTACGACAACGTGTAAAAGAGTCAGGAGAAAAAGCATCTTCTCGCCCATATCATTTGTTTTCAGAATCAGATCAATACAGCGACAACTTGAAGTAAATGAGGTATAAACAAGAAAACGTGACGCCGCTCAGCTGGTACTTCCTTGTCTGAATAGAGACGAGAATTCTCCCGCGAAGGATTTGAGAAACACAAACCATCACGGGAAAATCCTCGTCTCATTCAGACCAAGCCCCCAGGAAGTGCTCCGGTCTCTGAGGAAAATATTCGTAGTGGCCAAATGGCGGTACTACAAATTCCGTATCAGTCCGTGACGTCACCAGACCCAGAAATACTTTTTCCCATTGACTAACATGGGGAAAGAGACGTCTGTAAATCAGCGGATCATTTTTTTTTTACTAAATAAACTACCCAATATGAACACTTGTATAGCCCTTATTGGAATCATTAAGTCCTTAAAGTTTTAAAATGCACTAAAAGCCGAATCTAGATTTATTTTGTCTCTCCATTCATTTAGTCTCTCTTCCATGCTCTGACAGCAAGGCATGATGGGTAATCTGTGACGTTTTGCTCTCGAAAATCTCAGGCCATTTTGTCCTCATGCGCCAATGAGCAGCTCTCATAGGAAAGAACGAGACCCCGCCTCCACGATTCAGTGTGATATGTAATGTAGTGAAGCCCGCTTCTAGAAGCATCCATGTAGAACCATGGCTGAAGACGTGTTAATAAAGTCGTTCATCTGAATTTAAAGCAATGTCTACGGATACTTAATTACTTTCCATGTCATAAATACCAACATACATTAGGAATATTGCAAAGGTTACAATTATTGTGAGGAAAGGGGCGGAACTGACAACCGGAAGTTTTAAGCTTTAGTTTCAACATTTATCTGTCATAAACTGTAGTGATGTTAGAACATATCAATTCAGCTCAAGCGTTTAATTAGAGGTGGGAGAAGTACTCAGATCTTGAACTGAAGTAAAAGTAGAAGTAACAGAGTTTAGGAATGCTCTGTTACAAGTATTATCATCAAAATATAGTTAAAGTAGCGACAGTAAAAGTAGATTGGTCCATTTCAGAATAATATATATGATATGTTTTATAATGATTGATCATGAAAGTGTTCTCAAAGCTGGTAAAGGTGCAGCTAGTTTGAATGACTTTGTATACTGCAGGGTAGCTTGTGAATTTACTCCAGGTGGAACTAAAGTCTGATTTAACACTTTCATTTCACATCATTCATCCACATCTGTGAAGTAACTATGATGCTCTTGATGTTCTACTTTTACTGAGTAACATTTTGAAAGCAGGACTATTACTTGTAACAGAGTATTCCTACACTCTGGTACTTCTACTTGTACTCAAGTACAAGATCTGAGTACTTCTACTTTTACTAAAGTACAAGATCTGAGTACTTCTACCTTTACTCAAGTACAAGATCTGAGTACTTCTACTTTTACTCAAGTACAAGATCTGAGTACTTCTCCCACCTCTGAAAGCTCTGCTGATCAACACTCAAGTCCAGAAGGTGGCAGCAAATGCATCTCAAAGCTGTTTGACATCCGCTAACAGAAGGAGGAAGAGGAGGAAGATGAGAAGAATGGTGTACTATTTTAATAAATAAAAACATTTGATCTGAAGGTATCAGAGTTGTTATTGTAGGACTATTGTATTAAACTGCATTAGATTTATTAGTGCAAGCAAAAAACGGGCGAGTATATTTCTTTAATATTGTATATCGAGCATTTATTTTAATAATATAATTAAACTTCTATATTATTTTTAGGATATAAGATGACACATGTGGCAGGTCCTACAATTACCCAATAAGGCAAGCTGTACAATAACTTTACCCACATTGACAAAAGCACCACTTTCTTTAAAATGTGGGGAGAGTAACTGCAATGGAAAGTCAACGATAGGATCCTGAATTAAAGAGTATTGAGCATTACATGTTAGTCTCCCTGCAGTTCAACCTGTAGTCTCTGAGTTCAACAAGCACAGATATTAAGGTGTCCTGCAGAGAATACACGAGCCCTCCTAAAATCATGAATTAAATAATGAACTACATCTTCTTCAATATTATTCCCCCTACTTGGGTTTATAAAATATAATAATATATATAATAAAATGAAAGTATCAGTAAGATTATTACCTGAAAGAAACTGTGAGAGTAGTCCACATGTTGAAAGCTGTCTGTAATGTGACGAGAAACGAAAAGTGGGCGGAGTCTCGGGTTTACTTCCGTTCAGTTTGGCGGGTTATTTTGTCGATCTGAGGCCCAATCTCAAACCACGCCCTACACCCTCCCCCTACACACTCCCCCTCCGTGACAGAGTGAACTCCGTGGAGTGACACATGAGGCTCCGTTTCCCGCAGTCCCACAGTGTGACATTATATATACATAAAACAAAACGGGCCTAGATAACCGGGGTATACAGTTTAAAGTGTTAATAATATATTTAAAATGTTCAAAGTAGTTTCAGTGCAGTAGCAGCGGAGATGGGCAGAAAAGTGACTGGTGCTGGAAGACATGTGTCGACACATAAAAGAAAACAGCATCCTTTCATCTCAACAATCCAAAATCAACTCTTCTGGAAAGTAACTAAAGCTGTTTGATAAATGCAGTAACAAGTACTTTGTGTACCTCTGAAAGGCAGAGGAGTAGAAAGCATTAATGATTATAAAATGGGATCCTGAGGTACAGTTTGACCTCTGGACTCATTTTACTGAGGGGTCGTTCTTTGGCCGGTTCATTTATCAGAGCAGCTCATTCAATGAGGGACCAAGGAGACGAAGACAGTGTTAAGAAGAATTCATCATTTAATCATTTTTAACATAAATAGGACACACATGGAGATGCTTACACAACTGCACCTGTTGTACATCAGGGTTAATCATTCATGCCCTCCTTGGACACCAAAAGGACATACCATTTCTTGATGCTATCAATGTTCATATTGTGCAAACATTATCAACATATTACAGACATTATCCTTCCCCTCATCAACAAAATGATCGCACAATACCTGAACCATTATGTAAGTAAGAACCAGTGCTTTACCATCCAGATGAAACGAGTACAAGTGCAGTGAATACAAAGAAATGAAAAGTAAATAAGTAAAGAGGTGCTGCTGTTCTGCTGTTGCTTGTATTAATAGGGACAATTCTTCTTCGAAGTTATCAGTTTTCAGCTGTAGTCTTGCTGTGATTTTCTCCATTAAATAAACACTTTTGTACCCTGTTTCTCCAATGGACTCAGATTTCATGTTTAAGTGCTAATTTCATCAGTAACAGAATTTGATTCAGTGACTTTTTGAAAAATGAACAAATCAAAACACGTTCCTGTTAACTCTGGCTCAAGTAACAACACAGTATTTACTGCAACACTCTCACAAGTGGTATTATTAAATACTCACTTCACTGATATTCAAGTAACATCATTCAGAAAAGTACACAAGTGAAATTATTGATTTACATTCAGAGAAACAAGAACATAAAACGATAACTTCTAAACACCAACAAATTGCAGTTTAGTCCCTTTTTACAGCATGACATAAAGGCAGATAACTGTTTTTGTGTTGGAGTGAGAACCATGAGAAACGGAGACACGCTTTACAAGTAATAGTATACCTTTTAAAAAGAAGGAAAGATACATACAAGTAAATCCAAAAGACAACTTGCACACAATTTCAAACAGCAGCATTCATTGATTGGAAGCGTTTCCCACAACGGCCTGAACTGAACCACACATATTAAAATACATAAAGCCTTCATATTCAGTAGTTTATCTCCAGTAGATTACAGTCGGCTAGATCCTGCTTTGGAGAAGAAGCAGTAGCATCAGGAAGCTAGCAGGTGCTAATCAGCAGTAAACACAAAGTAGGCCTGAGCTCGATCATGGATGTATAATAAGAACTGGATACAGCGTGGGAGGCGGGGTCTCGTTCTTTCCTATGAGAGCTGCTCATTGGTGCATGAAGGCAAAATGGCCCAACTTTTGAGAGGGCGAAACGTCACAGATTACCCATCATGCCTGGCTGTCAGAGCAGAAGAACCCGTGGGTGTTTCTCAATCGCGAGTACGCTTGCTTGGTAGCACATGTCTGCCGAGCATCTTGCTTCAGAAGCGAGTCAAGAATACTTCCTGCCATTCGGAAAACAAAGAGTGGAACAGGCTAGCAAGTGTGCAGGTGTGCGTCATATGAGAGGCCCCGCCTCTTACATCTTCCGCCACAGATTTGGGGAAATTGGTCCGTGCGCAAAGCATTGTGGGGATTTTAAGGCCGCAAAGTCTACTCATGTGCAGCCTCGATATTTCTCCAAACGGAGTACGCCGGGCTCGGTAGATTTCCAAGTATGCTGGAGATTGGAACAGTACTTCGGCGGCACTCGATGACGTAGTATGCTTGAAATAGTGGCTCTGAAGCAGCTTTACTCGCGATTGAGAAACACCCCGTATGTGCGCTCATAGAGCATGCGCCCCTTAAGCCCCGCCCCCCGAGCTCCCACTCTCGGCTCAGTAGAATGAATGGAGAGAGAGAATAAATCTAGATTCGGCTTTTAGTGCATTTTACAACTTTAAGGACCGAATGATTCTAAAATGTACGAAAAAGCACGTCGACCAAGATGGTTTTGTTCGGTATCTAAATACTGACCAGTTTAGAAGTTCCTTTTTGATCAAAATGGAGGATTGTCTTAATCCCTCCAGCAGTCCTTGAGGGGCTTCTGAGAGCTCTGAGAGCAGCCGCTCACGATGAGACAGAGGTTTCTGACTCGTCTCTCTGCAGGTCTTCGGTTTCTGCCTCCGTGTTCAGATCTTTATTTTCATATTCATTCAGTCTCTGTTTTTCTGTCCTTCCCTCCTCTGAGCAGCTCAATCCAATCATCTGAAAGAGAAATAACAATACCTTCAGCTTCACATCTCAGCATTTATAGCACAATCTCTGTCTTTTGTTTTTAAAGCTGAAGCCAATGATAACTTGTTTTTCAAACAGAGACATTAAACATAAAGCAAAGGATGTAACAGTGCACACTGACATGTAAAGACAAAACTACAAAGGAACACATTTAAACATATATTATATGGATACTAAAATATGGCAAAGGTGTCACTGGTATCTTGCTTTATCAAACCACCATCAGGACGTCAAAAGCTCATAATAGAAAGGTGTGAAGCAATAGGAGTGGGTAATATATTGATATAATATCAATACATATTGTAGATTTAGGATATTGTACCGCATAAATGTCTTTCCCAGATTTTAAAAGCTGGGTTACAGTAAAGTGAAGTAACTCTCTGAATATACCAGACTGTTCTACCTCTACTATTACTTAACTTTAAATACTAAGTAATTATATATACATATTTTTTAACTTACGGTCTTCCCTCTCTTCAGAACCAGCAGAACAACGAGAACGCAGAGAATCAGGAGAACTGTGAGAATGATAGCAGCACGACCAGCCTCTCTGTTTGAAGCATCTGGAATACAATCAGAGGAGATTTCAGTTCACAAGAAGAGCCAAGGTGATGCAGTTTCACATCAACTCCCACTATCAGACTGTCCTTTACCCAGAGGGACAAAGACACTACATTTTTCTACAGAGGTTTTTAAATAATGTACCATTTCTCTCTCCAGCTGGAGGTGAGGTTGTGCTGGAGTCGTTCCTCTTGGTCTGGTTCTCTTGCTCCTTTGTTACTGTTTCAAAGGAGAGAGGTCTTATTGAGGGACAACAGGAGTCATTATCTGCAGATTCATTAAGTGACTGTTCAACAAGAAAATGACTACAGGCCTTGAGAGAGTCAAGTGAGGAAAAAAACCTTTAAAAACAATAAATCTGTCAAAACCCTTTTCCCCTTCCTGTTTCTTAAAGTCATAAACACACATTGTAATGTTTAAGGTGAGTTTTGGGCTTTGAGTTTTGTGGGGTTTGTTGGTTGTTATCAAAAGATGCTGATATGCTGGTAATTGTTTTGCCTCTCAGAGCTTCCAGGCTGTTCAGTATTAAACTCTTACCGACGGTGAGGTGAGTCGAACATCTGACCCCGAGCTTTGGGAGATAGACTTCATAAGACCCATTGTTAGACAGAGATACGTTGGAGATGGTCAGAGTCAGGACTCCTCTGGTCAGGTCTCCATGATTCAGAGCGGTTCTGTCTCTGTACTGAAGCATCTGGGAATCAGGGTCGTCGCGCCGACTTCGATAAACATGAACGTAACGGGTGTGTCCTCTATTCCATTCCACTGTTGTAGAGGACAGGTCGATGGGGGGGTCCAGACGACACTGAAGAGGCGCTGATCCTCCCTCCACGGCCTGGACAGGCTGAGAGGGAAGACATGCAAGAGGCAGTGCTGCGGAGAAGAACATTTGGACAGTTTTAGAGCCTTTAAAGAAAATACTTAGTTTTAAAAGGTCCCCTATTATACTGTTCTTCATCAATATATTACAGGTCTCAGATATATCCAGAGCCTGTCTCTGATTGGCTGAAACACCAAACAGATCATTGCAGCATCCCATAATCCCCTCTGTTTCAGCCCTGTTTCAAAAGTGCTGATTCTCTGTCTGTTACTTTAGATGAAAATAAGGAGCCCCTCCCCACGCCCCTCTGAGAGATATTTGGTTAAAAAGAACTCAATGGTGCTCTAGGAGGAGATTCAGGTGATAAGGTGGGGGGGGGGGTTACCTTGGTTGCTGATTGGCTGATGTTACACAAGCCAAAACATCGTTATGGACATCATAAAGTGGCCAAAATCTGATCAGCTCATTTTCAGACAGGTTTTTATATAAATGGATCAGGACAAAAAGAGAGAGAATCTTTGTTCCTGAAACTTTCAGAGTCTCTTTCCACAGAGGGGACACATGTTGATGAAGAAGAGACATGAAGAAGAGGGGACACATGTTGATGTAGAAGAGACATGAAGAAGAGGGGATACATGTTGATGTAGAAGAGACATGAAGAAGAGGGGGACACATGTTGATGTAGAAGAGACATGAAGAAGAGGGGACACATGTTGATGAAGAAGAGACATGAAGAAGAGGGGACACATGTTGATGAAGAAGAGACATGAAGAAGAGGGGACACATGGTGATGTAGAAGAGACATGGAGAAGAGGGGACACATGTTGATGTAGAAGAGACATGAAGAAGAGGGGACACATGTTGATGTAGAAGAGACATGAAGAAGAGGGGACACATGTTGATGTAGAAGAGACATGAAGAAGAGGGGACACATGTTGATGTAGAAGAGACATGAGAAGAAGAGGGGACACATGTTGATGTAGAAGAGACATGAAGAAGAGGGGACACATGGTGATGTAGAAGAGACATGAAGAAGAGGGTACACATGTTGATGTAGAAAGAGACAAGAAGAAGAGGGGACACAAGTTGATGTAGAAGAAGACATGAAGAAGAGGGGACACATGTTGATGTAGAAGAGACAAAAGAAGAAGAGGGGACACATGTTGATGTAGAAGAGACATGAAGAAGAGGGGACACATGTTGATGTAGAAGAGACATGAAGAAGAGGGGACACATGTTGATGTAGAAGAGACATGAAGAAGAGGGGACACATGTTGATGTAGAAGAGACATGAAGAAGAGGGGACACATGTTGATGTAGGAAGAGACATGAAGAAGAGAGGGGACACATGTTGATGTAGAAGAGACATGAAGAAGAGGGGACACATGTTGATGAAGAGGAAGAGAAGGGGACACATGTGTGGAGTGTAAGAAGAGACATGAAGAAGAGGGGACACATGTTTGATGTAGAAGAGGACATGAGAAGAGGGGACACATGTTGATGTAGAAGAGACATGAAGAAGAGGGGACACGTGTTTGATGTAGAAGAGACATGAGAAGAAGAGGGGGACACCATGTTGATGTAGAAGAGACATGAAGAAGAGGGGACACATGTTGATGTAGAAGAGACATGAAGAAGAGGATTTTGCATAATAGGTGACCTTGAGATGCGTTGGTGGTTAAATCACATCATGTAACTGTTAGAGCAAAAGTGGCACAGCAGATACAAAGAAGAAAAAAGCTTCAATAACTATAATTACAAAATGTCTGAAAGTAAAGGTACAAAATGTAGTACATTTAAAAAGACATGTTCTTATGAGCTTTCTTACCAGCAGAGGCCGCTGAGCATCGATCTGACCTCAGTTTGAAACTTATTAGACTAAACTTAGCTTAGAGGAAAGTAGAGAGCCTATCTCTGCTCTAACAGCTCTCTGGCTCTCAGGTGTTATCTTTTATATTTTAACTACAATCTGCTCCTTGAATAGCAATTCAACATGGAAAGTAACTTAGTAGCATACATCTCCTTAACCACTGGGCTTAAGAACACTTCCTATATATACTGTACTGTATATGTATACAGTCTATGGTAGCCTACTTTACCTGAGTACTTCTGCTGCTCTATACCTCTAGCTCTAGTCCACTTCATATGAGACGGATATAATGTACCTTTTACTCCTTCATTCAGCTTTACTTTCAAGCATCTGAACGTCATTAGGTAACATCCCAATAACACACACACACACACACACATTTTCCTAACGTTAAAAACTCAAAATCTTACTTTAAAAAAAGAACTTCTGCTTCTACTTTATTTATTTATATTAGTTTATTTTTTGCAATAAAGCCTTTAAATCTGTTAATCCTGACTCCAGGCTCCTTCCTGCAGCGACACAAACACTCCACTAGGTGTCACTGCAGCTCCACGCATGCTTCCCTTCCTGCCCTACTTTTTACTGAAGTACATCTGAAAGCCCATACTTCATTACTTTAGTTAGACGTTCAGTCAGAGTATTTTTCAACACGAGTATCTGTACTTTCACTCGAGTGAAGGATGTGTGTACTTGTGCCACCCCTGCTACTATCAGTACTACACACACACACACACACACACACACACACACACACACACACACACACACACACACACACACACACACACACACACACACACACACACACACACACACACACACACACACACACACACACACACACACACACACACACACACACACACCACACACACACACACACACACACACACACACACACACACACACACACACACACACACACACACACACACACACACACACACACACACACACACACACACACACAGTGCTGCCTGAAAAAAGATTGGGAGTGACTAAAATAAAATCGATGTAGATACTTTATAAATTCACATTTACACACAGATGTAGAAACAACACCATTTTAAAATATGGGGGTTAGTGTATATTATTAATACAATATGAATATATAAAGCACATCTCTTCTCTATTTAAACTTATCAAGCTAATGCACAGAATCTTTTCTTTAAGGGTTAAAACACTTGGCAACACAAGAGGAGAGCACATGTACTGTCCAAACACTCTATGGCAATACAAGAACAAAGCATTGGATTCAAAGTTATGCTAAAACGATGAAAGTACTTTAATGAAACCTAATCTGGATCCAGATCATGCTGGCCAAAGTAATAACATATATTCTAAATGTAATGGGCACTGACAGTGAAGCGAGAATAAAGAATCACACAACCTCTTAAATTAATAATCCGGTTTTGTTTTTGTGAGAATTTTGAACAGGTAAAAAAAGACTTACAATAGTCAAAGCATCCTGATATAAAAGTATGATTTTCACTCAAATGTAACTGTGTCCTCAATAAGCAGACTCTCAAATTAAGTTAGCAACTCACCCAAGATATTTGATATTTGAGCAACCAGCAACAAAAGTAAGAGTTTCTTCATCATGAAGTCCTGCTCATTCCTCTAATCTAAAGACATGCAGCCTTTCTCCCTCCTGCTATTAATGTGTGTTTATTACTCAGCAGCTTCCTCCCCCGTCTCTCACCAGCAGCCTCCCCCTATTTCTTACTCCGCCTCCTCCCCCCTCTCTCACCAGCAGCCTCCCCCTATTTCTTACTCCGCCTCCTCCCCCGTCTCTCACCAGCAGCCTCCCCCTATTTCTTACTCCGCCTCCTCCCCCGTCTCTCACCAGCAGCCTCCCCCTATTTCTTACTCAGCCTCCTCCCCCGTCTCTCACCAGCAGCCTCCCCCTATTTCTTACTATATACCGTATTTTATCCTAATCTATATAGTTAACTTCTGCTTCTACTTTTTTTATTTATATTAGTTTATTTTTTGCAATAAAGCCTTTAAATCTGTTAATCCTGACTCCAGGCTCCTTCCTGCAGCGACACAAACACTCCACTAGGTGTCACTGCAGCTCCACGCATGCTTCCCTTCCTGCCCTACTTTTTACTGAAGTACATCTGAAAGCCCATACTTCATTACTTTTACTTGAGTTAGACGTTCAGTCAGAGTATTTTTCAACACGAGTATCTGTACTTGTGAAGTGAAGGATGTGTGTACTTGTGCCACCCCTGCTACTACGAGTACTACTATCAGTACTTCTCTGCAGTACTACTATGAGTACTACTATGAGTACTTCTCTGCAGTACTACTATCAGTACTTCTCTGCAGTACTACTATCAGTGCTTCTCTGCAGTACTACTATGAGCAGTGGCGGCTGGTGGAAAATATTTTAGGTGGGGCTGTGGAAATGGTGATCAAACAATACTAGAGGGGTCCGGGGGGATGCTCCCCCGGTAATTTTTTTTGAGAAAAGACCCCTTAAATCATGACTTCTGGTGATGTTAGAGGGGGGGAGGGGGGGGGGGGGGGGGGGGGAGAAGGACAATTTGAGGCTTAAAAATATGAGAAGACTGATCAATACCTCCATAACTTCAGTGTGGTTAGCTATGAATCTTCCAAAACTTCCAAACACCTTGTCCTGGACATAGTTTCTACAGCATAAACTGTGCAACAGTACAGTAGGCCCACACAAACTGCAGAACACCGGGGCTTTGGGAACACTGATTTAATTCCCATTTAACCTGTTAAGGGGCTTTTTTCCCCCGTTTTTTTTCTCACGAAACTGTGTCTCAGGGCTTCTTAAAATGTAATAAACTATTCATGTGTCCTACTCAGAGGAAACGCATCTAACTGATGATATGAACCATGTTTACCGAAACAAAACACAAGTCTCACAAGAAGCGTCTAAATGAGCCCTGAGCGAAAAAATGCTAACGCACTCTAGGTATAAATCAATCGATATACTTATCGGATATGCACAAACAAGCTTACAAGCTGAGATTCCACATATTCTAGAAATATAAGTATCATCACTGAGCGATCAGAACTCGCGACAGGGGAAGCAAATACAGACATCACACGACGTAGCTTTAGGTAGCAAAACATGGAGATATGCTCACCTTTTGCAGAATAACAATTCTGATCAAAAACGAGAAAAACGCAGCTGAAGGTTAATCCATAGGTTAATCCAATGTGTCTGTCACTTTGAAAAATGATTGATGATCCATAATTCAATTTTTATGTAAAAAACTGAGTTTTCATTAGCTGCTAATGTGGTAGCTTCCAGAGTGTATGACAGCTTCCTGTTTTGTCTCCTTGGATACGAGTCCAAACAACTCACAGCCTGCACCGGGCGCTCACGTAGGAGCCCTGTGACCATCAGATTTGACGACGCTGATTGGCTGAAATTATGTTTTCGCGGCATAGTTTACACGTTACAGATAGCAACAGTCAGCTGCTAGTGGCTGCTGCTGCACTGGTTGAGGGCTCCTCTCTTAGCGCCCAGACGAGAGAAGGTACACGGGCAAGGCCAGGCAGGAAACATGTGACTTATCACTAACTTTAGACATCGTAACACAATTTTAAACGAGATTTTATTGTAGATTATACATTTTACTGATACCAATTATATAATATTTACCTTGTTCATTAAAAATAAAAATAAAAATATATATATTTTTTTAAATATATTTTTTATTTTTATTTTTATTTTTTAATATGGGAAGAGGTGGGGCGGCGCCCCTAGCGCCCCTATGGACCGGCCGCCACTGACTATGAGTACTACTATCAGTACTTCTCTGCAGTACTACTATCAGTACTTCTCTGCAGTACTACTATCAGTACTTCTCTGCAGTACTACTATCAGTACTTCTCTGCAGTACTACTACGAGTACTTATCTGCAGTACTACTATCAGTGCTTCTCTGCAGTACTACTATCAGTACTTCTCTGCAGTACTACTATCAGTACTTCTCTGCAGTACTACTATCAGTACTTATCTGCAGTACTACTATGAGTACTTCTCTGCAGTACTACTATCAGTACTTCTCTGCAGTACTACTATCAGTGCTTCTCTGCAGTATTACTATCAGTGCTTCTCTGCAGTACTACTATCAGTACTTCTCTGCAGTACTACTATCAGTGCTTCTCTGCAGTACTACTATCAGTACTTCTCTGCAGTACTACTATGAGTACTTCTCTGCAGTACTACTATCAGTACTTCTCTGCAGTACTACTATCAGTACTTCTCTGCAGTACAACTATGAGTACTTCTCTGCAGTACTACTATCAGTACTTCTCTGCAGTACTACTATCAGTGCTTCTCTGCAGTACTACTATCAGTACTTCTCTGCAGTACAACTATGAGTACTTCTCTGCAGTACTACTATCAGTACTTCTCTGCAGTACTACTATCAGTGCTTCTCTGCAGTACTACTATCAGTACTTCTCTGCAGTACAACTATGAGTACTTCTCTGCAGTACTACTATCAGTACTTCTCTGCAGTACTACTATCAGTGCTTCTCTGCAGTACTACTATCAGTGCTTCTCTGCAGTACAACTACGAGTACTTCTCTGCAGTACTACTACGAGTACTTCTCTGCAGTACTACTACGAGTACTTCTCTGCAGTACTACTATCAGTACTTCTCTGCAGTACTACTATCAGTACTTCTCTGCAGTACTACTACGAGTACTTATCTGCAGTACTACTATCAGTGCTTCTCTGCAGTACTACTATCAGTACTTCTCTGCAGTACTACTATCAGTACTTCTCTGCAGTACTACTATGAGTACTTCTCTGCAGTACTACTATCAGTACTTCTCTGCAGTACTACTATGAGTACTTCTCTGCAGTACTACTATCAGTACTTCTCTGCAGTACTACTATCAGTGCTTCTCTGCAGTATTACTATCAGTGCTTCTCTGCAGTACTACTATCAGTACTTCTCTGCAGTACTACTATCAGTGCTTCTCTGCAGTACTACTATCAGTACTTCTCTGCAGTACTACTATGAGTACTTCTCTGCAGTACTACTATCAGTACTTCTCTGCAGTACTACTATCAGTACTTCTCTGCAGTACAACTATGAGTACTTCTCTGCAGTACTACTATCAGTACTTCTCTGCAGTACTACTATCAGTGCTTCTCTGCAGTACTACTATCAGTACTTCTCTGCAGTACAACTATGAGTACTTCTCTGCAGTACTACTATCAGTACTTCTCTGCAGTACTACTATCAGTGCTTCTCTGCAGTACTACTATCAGTACTTCTCTGCAGTACAACTATGAGTACTTCTCTGCAGTACTACTATCAGTACTTCTCTGCAGTACTACTATCAGTGCTTCTCTACAGTACTACTATCAGTGCTTCTCTGCAGTACAACTACGAGTACTTCTCTGCAGTACTACTACGAGTACTTCTCTGCAGTACTACTACGAGTACTTCTCTGCAGTACCTCCATCTCCTGCAGGAAGCAGGCGGTCTTCCCGGTGCCGGGCGCTCCGGAGATGTAGAGGCTGCCGGGGACTCTCTGCAGGGCTTTGTCTCTCAGGAAGCACCGGATGGCGTCTCGCTCCACCTCGCGGGACAGAAGACGCTCCGGGAGGGCCGTGTGCAAAGCCTGCTTCACGCTCAGGAACCTCGACTCTGCAGGGGGAACAAGAGAGGAAGAGGACGATGAAGATGAGGTCAAATGCATCCTTATCTTATATGGACAGTCTTGCACTAATGTACATTCTCTAAGATATTGAAGTGACTGTTATTTTGTATATATTGATTGTTGTGTTTTTATTTATGTCTTAATGTGTGCACATGTATAAATGTGTCTTTTGATCGTTTGATTTGATTGGTTATAAGAAGTGGATGTTGTCCAATAGGTGACCTTAAAAACAAATATTAGCGCCTCTTACTTTCTGCGAAGAGCCGAGAGACCGCGTGTTTTCCCTCCGGGGGTTCCGGCGGGAGTGTCCTGTCGCCGCGGTGACGACCCGGTGTTGGGAGACTGGTTTCCGTGGCGACAGCGACGGGACCAGCCGGCAGCGAACGGAGAGCGGAGAGTTCTCGTCGAAGCTGAGCTTTCTGGGAGAATTCACGGCCGGCTTGCTCTGCTTCGGGGGGGAGCCGAGCAGCGAGGAGCCGCCCAGGTTACAGCCGTTATCGTCTCCTTCAAAATAAAAGAGGACACACGTTTAAATCTCCGGGTGAAGCTGGTGTGGAGGAACTCAACATCTTATCATTTAAATATTCTTTCATTGTTGATAAGCAAGCCAGGCCAACAACACCAACAACACCAGATTGAGAACAGTCGCTTTAAAAAAAAATGTAACCGCCTATAGAGATTTAAACCAACATAAGCCTTTTTGAATAACTGTGGGAATAGATGGAGCCGTGTGGTGTTTTATTTGCACCTCTGAAGCACTTTGTAGCCGTTCTAAAGTTGTTTTACACTAAAGAAATGAAGCAGAACCTAGAACCACATGGGGACCGTCTCACCTGTGCGTTTCCTGGGGCTGAGGGGGAGTCTTGTCTGCAGACGGGGGGAGGATGGAGGAGCTCTGAGTGAGAGAGGAGACGAGACGGCAGAGGTCCGGGCGACGGCAGGGCGCCTCGGGGACATCGGTCCGATGCGACCCAGGTTCAGGTTCTGGGTTTCGGGTTTTGAAGGTGAAGCAGCCGGAGACTCCTCTCGCTGCGGCGTCTTGCCGTGAGAGGAAACTCTGCAGGATTTCCGGCGAGGGAACGCCAGCGTGGGCTGAGCCTGGCCGTTAGAGCGCGTGCTGGGCATGTTGAGCTCAAACTGAAACATTAAAAAAAGGAAATGAATCCATTAGTTCATCAAAAAAGGTAGGGGTGTGTGAGAGGGGTTTTTAAAAACATTTTAAGCTTCTTGTGAAGTTTTTGTTTGAAGCTAAACTAGTAAAGTCCTACATCCAAATGTTTACTTAAAGGTCACCTATCATGCTATTTTTAGGTAATAGCATAGGTCTCAGATATATACAAATATATAAAAAACATGTCTATGAAGTGTTTTGCTCAAAATACCAAACAGATCACCCATTCTAGCCATGCCTCATATCCCTCTATTTCACTTCCTGTTTCAAAAGTGCTGATTTTGCGTATAAAGCTTTAAAAAAAAAAAAAAAAAAGGAGGGGGCTGAGCTCATGCGGGACCCGGCAGCTACTGTCTAAACTAAATACTGCCGTGATGAAACGCCATATCATGGATTATCAAGGATTATTTCTGAAACAGTATGGAGCTCAAAGGCTTTCTCTCTTGCCGGTTATACCACAAGGTGAGTTCCTTTTTATTTCCTGCTTCTTCACACACATGCTCTCCAGTACAGGTTAGCTCTGAGTGTTAGCAATGCTAATGTAAACACCGACCATATTACGTCCAAAACAGTCGGGCATTGTTTCTGATAGCAAAGTTTCTGATAGGGCCATGGGTGTAAAGCCAGCCCACATTTCAGATATTACGTCATATCGGACGCAAATCTGAATCAGCTCCGTTGTAGCCCCGTTTTTTGGAGATTTGGGTACGGAGGAAAAGAGAGAGGGTTTTATTTTCTGACGCTGCGTGAGTTCCCTGACGCACCGGGGACACATCTTTATGTATAAAAGACATGAAAAAGTGCATTTTGCATGATAGGTCCCCTTTAAATAAAAGTACTGGTTGCTGGTCATTTTGGGTTCAAACTGAAACCTAATCCATAAGCACATAAATGATAGGGCTGTTAATAATGTGATTTTTGTTTTTACATTTTCTAAGGTTGGTGAACGAATGCATTCAAACTTTAGTTATTAGCAGCAATGATGCTATAAGAACCAAAAACTAAATAAGTATGGGGCTACATAAAATAAGTAATACTCTGTTATACGAGTCCTGAATCCAAAAACTACAACAGTACTAGTGTCACAATCTACAAAAAGGTATCAAAAGCACTCATTTAGCCAATTCCAAGATATATTTAATATGATTAGATTTACTGATAAAGTAATGTGTTCATGTTTTGATGTTGCAGCTGTTAACATGTGGGGCTTATTCTGCCTAATGTACATACTGCTGGGTAGTGGAGACTCCATTGATATGTATAAAGTAGCATTACATGGAGATACTTCATTAAAACTCAAGTACTTCAAAATTGTACTTGAGTAACTTTCCTCCACTAGTTGATGGCATGTTGGTCGTGGCACCTGTCACTACCATGGATGTATAATAAGAACTGGATACAGCGTGGGAGGCGGGGCCTCATTCATATGATGAATTGGAAATGGGGGACCCTGATGTAAACAAGACGAAAGTCTTTCTCTGGTCTGCATCCCCTTAACAATTGTATGTTTTGAGCTGTACTGTACTGTACCCAATATACAAGCTGTTAATAAACTTTTCAATCAATCAATCAATTCATTCCTATGAGAGTTGCTCATTCGCGCATGATGACAAAATGGCCCAACTTTTGAGAGAGCGAAACGTCACAGATTACCCGGCATGCCTGAGAAGTACCCGTATGTGCGCTCATAGCGCATGCGCAACTTTAACCATGCCCCCCAAAATGCTCGTTCACATCAAGCACGTCAATTTGCGTACACGTAACAGCATGGTAATGGTTGTTATGATAGATTTTATATTAACGAGGCGGCAGTTAGCAGCTAGCGGTTAGCTAGTAATTATGCTAATTTACACATCAATCGTTATGTACTTTTATATTACGCTGTAACAGGATCTAGTGATATCCAAGCAGCAGAGCTTCATTTAGCATGAAAGAATTATTGCACTGTGTGTGTATATATATATAAATAATATATCACTATTATTTAACAACTCTTTATTGGGTTATTTTATTTGGGGTGAAGTACATTGTCAGAATAAGTGAGAAATGGATTTAACTTGTTAGACAGCTATCATACTGAATACATATTTACTGTGAATGTATGCAAACATGTATGGCATATAGCTGTCTAACAGAAGTTAAATCCATTTCTCACTTATTCTGACAATATACTTAACCCCAAATAAAAGAACCCATTAAAAAGAGTTGTTAAACAATAGTGAAGTCACGTTGTAATAACAATAACTCATCTCTCGGTTCTTTTTCTGCTTTGCCAAACGCCAGTGTCAAATGTCCTATTAGAGTTGCCGTATGTAGTTGTCCAATATGGCGGACCATCTCGCACATGCGCAGTACAGATCGGGCAGATCTGGTCATAGATATATATAAACACCAGCCTTAAGTTAGAACTTCTGGACCTTGTTTCAAGTAGATAACTTTGTCCTCTTCTTTGTTTTTATTTTCGAGGCTCTGTACCTTAGCCTGTAGGTGGACGATAGTGTCCTAGGTAGGTGCCAGAAATGCGCAACTCTGCACTGTTAACACGTTCCATACATTCTCCGACCTCCTTCCTCATGCCAGCAATTGCAGCCAATACTCCATCCTGTCTGTTTTTAAGTCTTTGATAGCTTCGAGAATTGGTGGTGGTGTTACTTGCTGCTTCATCTCCGGCGTTCCCAACATTCCCATCCGCCATTGGGTTAGCATTAGCTGTAGCTTCTTCACCCTGTTTGGACGGGCCAAAATCTATAGACTGGGTTTTTTGCGGTCTTTACCGGATCTTTTTGAGGTAGAAGGCATCAGGGTATTCTTAGCAAATGTATTGCTCGCTTTATCGTAGTAGTTCGTTTGGTTTAATACGATTGTGCGGAGGAGAAAGAAACACGTCTGTCTAGCGCGCCGCCATACCGGAAGTCAAGCTGTCCTTTTTAAATCATTGAGATTGTATATAAGGAATTTAACAAAAAACACAAGATAATTATTTACACTGTGACATTTACAAATAGCATTGTTTACTCACTCATACAGTGTATGGGACTGCAACCATAGTCTTACTGTATTTTATTTTGAAAGTCTCAACCGGAAAATTGCGGCTCTGTTCGCACAAACATTAACTCCATAATAAATGTAGTCTACTTTTCATATGATGTGAAAAACCTATCAGCATTTACCGTTTAAATCGCATATGAACAAAATGCTTGTAGAATCTGTAGTTGTTTGGTATTGTCGATTTAATGTGTGAACGAGTGACAGAGAAGACCATGCTGGCCAAAAGTAATACAATATATTCTAAATGTAATGGGCAGACACTGACAGTGAAGCGAGAATAAAGAGTCACACAACCTCTTAAACTCAGTTAATACTCCGGGTCAATTGTGAGGAGTTTGAACAGGTAAAAAGACACTTACAATAGTCAAGATGTCATGATATAAAAGTGTGATCTTCATTCAAATGTAACTGTGCAGACTCTCAAATAAAGTTAGCGACTCACCTGAGATGATTTCAGCAAACAGCAAAAAAAAAATGAGTTTCATCATCATCAATCCAGGAGAGAAGTGGATGACCTGAATGTGACAGCTGAACTAACCCTGCAAAGCAGAGCATTCTTCCTTTCAGTGCACTGGGGCGTGGTCTAAGGACCAGGGACCGAGGGTGTCATACATTTTACAGATTGCAAAGCGCCCAGCAGCGACAAATGTGTTATTTCGGCTATTGAGCTAGATATATATTACACATTTACTTTTTAAACATTTTAAAAACAGACACAGTACAACATTAAAACCAAAACAAATCCAACAACAAGTAAATAAAAAGAGGAAAGTTCCGAAGTAGTTTTCTGGTAAATAGTAAAAAACTTTATTGAAACGGCTCCTTCATATTGGACATGTTTAAGAATAAAGGCAGTTCTGACAGGTTCAAATAGAGCTGAATTAACAACAAACAGTTATTTACACACAAAGACAAATGAGGACATAAAGAAACATTCAGAAAAAACTAACAATCAGCCTGTCCAACTAGATCATCAGTCAGTTGGTGCAGACCACCAGGAATACAGAGGAGTAAACCCCCAAATGTCTGGATGTGATCACATGACCAGAACTCTTTGTGTTCTACATGAACAGATTTGATCCAGTCTGCAGTCTAAGTGTTACACAGCGGCTTCAGAGAGTCCCTCAGAGAAGAATCAGAGGACAGCAGGAGAGAATAACTCTGACATCATTCACTAAAACCTGTTATTATTTAAAGAGACTATACACCGGACACTTTATGAGGAACTATAGGGGGTCCAAACTTTCTTCACTGAGGGCCACAAACAGAAAAACACATGAAGCGCTGGGCCCCTCACTAGAGATCAGGTTGCCTCATAAGTTAGTAAATCAATCAAATACATGACTTTGACTTGATACTTGAATATGCTTTGAGAAAACACAAACAGCCTAAAACCCCAGCTCTCCGTAGGGTTTCATTTATCTTGTTAAAGTGTTGGCAGCTCATTCCTTCAAACGGAGCCTCTGATTATAATAAGGGGAAATGTGAAGGGTCTATTTCAAGCTTGGTGGGCAGAGAAGTTATTGGGCTTTTTTTATTATTAGCCACGATTTGTTAGAAAATGTTCTTAACTTGAATTGACTGAATTTATTTAAAATGTGGGATTATTATTAATACAAGAATAATGCTGCGGAATAACCGTTTACATATATTTTAAAAGTAAAGTATAAGAAAAGCATAAGTTTCATGTTTGATAAGATAAAATTGATCTTTATTAATCCCCGTGGGGAAATGCAGGAGTTGAAACAGCAACAGGGTGAGAATGAAAAACAGGACGGCACAGATTCACAGATTAATACAATTTAAGATCAAATCAAAGATACAAATAAAAATGATAGAAAACTGAAATAAGAGATGAAATAAAATGAACATATATATACACATCTTGGGTCATATATATATATTAGATATATTTACATGAATGTGTGGAAACAGTGTGTGTTTGATGTCCAGTAATTGTGACCCTGTAACCCTTCTTTCGGAGTATTTAAAAATGTTTGAAAGATTGATTTAAGACATCAGGGTAGATGCAGGAATCCTGAAGTCAAATGTAAAACCTTTTAAGACCTTTTTTAAGACCCTTTCCACACATTTTAAGACCTCATCGCCACTTTGAGTTCTAACCGGTTACATTGGCGACACACTTTACCTCACATTTACTATATACAGTATTGATTGTCCTTCCTCCTTATCTTCCAACCATTTGGACGCAAACTTGCATTTCCCCATAACGATGTTGTTTAACAACCGGCGTAAACGGACCTTCGCGCGCTATCAAGCAGTGAGCGTGCGATGTCCTGTTCAGATGACGTCAAACCCAACGGGATGCCATAAATAAACTACACAGAATCACACTACACACCTACGCAATGATTACATTCAGGCAGACTGTAGAATACAACCTCTTTGGACAATTTATATACTTATTGAAAACAAGCTACAAAATGTAATACCTTGGAAAATGCCGTTTAATACTTTTTAATAGTCTTAATTTTCGCTAAATTGATTTATCAACTTGTAATACTTTTTAAGACCCCGCGGACACCCTGATTGTATATCACAATATTTTCATAAATACAAATATCATCATTGTGATGAAACTGCAGGACTTATATTTGTTGTTTTTATAAAAATATTTACACAATGACATGTCATGGATATCACCACCTAGTGGGTAAAACAGATAATGCTAGTTTGTGAATGACATGATTTCAATGTAATGCTGCTTTAAAAACATGGAAGAGAGAACACACATATAAATCCAACATGATACCTCGTCTGTCACAATATAGATGTTATATTGATTGATGGCCCAGCCCTCTGTTTGTCAGGGGATATAGAAAGGTATATTCTGCCTTGATTGACCCATTAATAGACCGTATCTGATGGTTGATTGTTGTTGTCTTTGACCTCTGACCCCACCAGGCCTTCTTCTGCAGCGCTCTGCTGATCTCCCTCTGAGGTCTTCGGCTCTCCTTCTTTCTAATAATTCGCTGTGAAAACATTAAACACAGTTTTAGAGACTTCATCCAATGAAGGAGAGGTTGTGTGTTCTGAGGCCCTGTTCTGCTCTCTGGGTTCTCCCTCTCCTGTAGTTCTTCAGGTTTCAGTGCATGTAAATGGTCTGCAAAGGCTAACATCCCTGTGCTCCCTCAGAGGGAGTTTCTCTCCTAAGCCATTGCCTTATATTCTGATATTGGATAGTTTCTTTTTTTACTTTAAATCATATTATACGTTTGTATTAGATAATCATCTAAATCTAAAAAGTAACTAAAGTTTCAAATAACTGTAGTGGAAGAAAACTACAATATCATTATTTTTAGATGTAGTGGAGTAGAAGTAGAGAGTAGCATGCACTGAAAATACTCAGGTAAAGTACAAGTACCTCCAAAATGTACTTAAGTACAGTAAATGCAGTGGCGTTTTTATATGTACAAAAGTGGAGGGGCACGAACACGAACCACTTAGATGTGTATACGCTTCTGGTGCTTTTTTAAACACGTAAACAAATAGCTGTAGGCTCGCCGTTGGGGAGAAAATCAGCAATGTAAATGGTGACGTCATGACGCAGCGGCACCAGTCGGGCTCTGGGCGGTGTGAACAAAACGGGGGCTGAAAAGAAAAACCGGTTCCGAACCAGAAAAGCTCTAGCACGGAGCTAGAACGGGAACCGCGTTGGTGTGAAAGCCCTATCAGATCACCTTTCTTCCCCGTTTGATGCTCTCTTTGAACTTCACCAGGTCCTCTTCACCATGTCTACATGCCTCAATGCAGTGGATGCTGCCACGTGATTGGCTGATTACATATTTGCCTTAACGAGCAGTTGAACAGGTGTACCTAATGAAGTGGCCAGTGAGTGTGTTTGGTCAGACATATTGTGATATTTGTTTTGTTTTTTAACTTACGGATCTTCCCTCTCTTCAGAACAACGAGAACGCAGAGAATCAGGAGAACTGTGAGAATGATAGCAGCACGACCAGCCTCTCTGTTTGAAGCATCTGGAATACAATCAGAGGAGATTTCAGTTCACAAGAAGAGCCAAGGTGATGCAGTTTCACATCAACTCCCACTATCAGACTGTCCTTTACCCAGAGGGACAAAGACACTACATTTTTCTACAGAGGTTTTTAAATAATGTACCATTTCTCTCTCCAGCTGGAGGTGAGGTTGTGCTGGAGTCGTTCCTCTTGGTCTGGTTCTCTTGCTCCTTTGTTACTGTTTCAAAGGAGAGAGGTCTTATTGAGGGACAACAGGAGTCATTATCTGCAGATTCATTAAGTGACTGTTCAACAAGAAAATGACTACAGGCCTTGAGAGAGTCAAGTGAGGAAAAAAACCTTTAAAAACAATAAATCTGTCAAAACCCTTTTCCCCTTCCTGTTTCTTAAAGTCATAAACACACATTGTAATGTTTAAGGTGAGTTTTGGGCACTGAGTTTTGTGGGGTTTGTTGGTTGTTATCAAAAGATGCTGATATGCTGGTAATTGTTTTGCCTCTCAGAGCTTCCAGGCTGTTCAGTATTAAACTCTTACCGACGGTCAGGTGAGTCGAACATCTGACCTCTGGTCCTGGGAGATAGACTTCATAAGATCCATTGTTAGACAGAGATACGTTGGAGATGGTCAGAGTCAGGACTCCTCTGGTCAGGTCTCCATGATTCAGAGTGGTTCTGTCTCTGTACTGAAGCATCTGGGAATCAGGGTCGTCGCGCCGACTTCGATAAACATGAACGTAACGGGTGTGTCCTCTATTCCATTCCACTGTTGTAGAGGACAGGTCGATGGGGCGGTCCAGACGACACTGAAGAGTCGCTGATCCTCCCTCCACGGCCTCGACGGGCTGAGAGGGAAGACATGCAAGAGGCAGTGCTGCGGAGAAGAACATTTGGACAGTTTTAGAGCCTTTAAAGAAAATACACACAAAGATTTGAAGATGCTTTTGTGTCCTTGGAAGACAAAAGGTAAACGGAACACATTTGAATTATATATTAACGGGGCCTTATTCTCAGTGGCGACTGGTCATTAGGGGCAGGCACAGCCCCACCTAGTGTCAGCAGAATTACATCTTAAAATATATTTTAAGATCATGTTTAATCATCTGATTCGTCTGTACATGCTGTTTTAGTCTGTTCTTCTAATTAGTGTCCACAGTGTGCCTGTTGAGCCGTTTTGAGCGATGTGGGGCAAGCATGGGGTCAAGCCCCGATCTAGCCCCTCTCTCTCACTGTCTAATGGCGCGTTTCCACTACAGCGCGGAGCACGGTTTAAGAGGGCTGTGACGTCAGCGGCCCGTCTTTGGTTGCGTTTCCACTTGGCCTAGTACCGGCCGGCGGGTCCTAATTCACAGTTTTTCTGGCCTCATAAAATCGTGGGTCTAGGGCCAGAGACAACGAGGCTGAGTCGGGCTGAGTATGCTAAACTAGAGAGAGCATCGCTGGCAAGGGGGCTACAACTACAACAAGATGGACATATTTGACCGTGATTTAATTGTAATACACGTTTCAAAATGTACCACGTGATGACACGTTAGGCTCGTGTTGTGTTCAAGAACCCTGACCTAACCCAGGAAAAACAGGCACTCGCTTGTTTAATTGTTTTGCGGTCTAGATTTCTTAAATGTTTTTCTTTTTTGCGTGTGTTTATAAATTACCTCGAGGGCCGTACCAAATGGTGTCGCGGGCCGTATACGGCCCGGGGGCCGAAGGTTCCCCACCCCTGGTCTAAGTGAATGGGTACTGTAAAAACTACACTGGCATGCTCAGAGTCTTTTACTATTCAATGTGTGCGGCAACAAAATAATCACCATAGGGGCACTGTGCTGGCAACCCCACCAAACGTCATCTCACATAATTCAGAGCTGATTGGCTGTAAGTACATGTGCCGCGAAAAGTATCTGAAGAGGAGATCAGGGTTGCGGTCGAATAGTCCATTTAGCTTAGGAACCTTCCTAACGGAGTGAAATGACCCGGAAGTCCCTCAGTGGCAGCCATGATAAGTGCTGTTCGAATTCTCTAGATGAAAGGAAAGGAGGTTTCAAACTTCCTTTATAACCTCCTTTATCTTAGGAACCACTAGACCTCCCTAACCGAAAGGAGAGGAGAAATTGCTGCCCCACAATGCCTTGCGGCCGCCGCATTTGCCGTCACACAACAGTTGGCCGTTCACGGAAACAACCGATTATGAACGAGAAATGATATCATGAAAGTTACGGTGCTTATAGAGTGGCGAAGTCACGCCCATCTACTTCCGGTCCATGGGACCTTATTTCGGAAAAATAATGTATTGAAGTCAATGGAGAGAGAAAACTTATCTTTCGATCCCGTTTGAATTGTGCCATGAATTACACATATGATGTTTGTCAATCTTAAAAAATAATTTCCATGTCAAAGAAGTCACAGTTTGTCGTAAAACTGTTGAAATGTAAGACTATGAAAAATACGCAACTAGAAAGACTACAAATCCCAGAGTCGTGTAAGTGATGTCACAATTGTTTTCCTCCACTAAGAGATAGCTAAGATCAGCGCCATATAGATATAATCTATCTATATGGCGCTGGCTAAGATAAGATAACTTTAACAAGATGCCTGTGTGCTTAGTACCAGGTTGTTATCAATGGGTCTTGCTCGTTCTTTTGCTTCCCGTCTGATGAAAGGACCAGGAGTGGCTTGATCAAGTTAGCTACCTAGCTAGTAGCTAGCACGTTAGTTAGCATTACAGCCTTGTCATTTTTATTAGCCTTAACATGAAGTAACATTAAGTAACCCAAAATGTTAAAGAGTAAGAGTAGTAGTCATATTTCGTGAACCCTTTGAAGAGTACTGTCACCGGTGTGATCATTCTATAATACACAATTTAAGCCCGGGGGAGAAATGCTAACGCTAACGCTAGCATCGGCGATCGGCGATCTTTTCTACTTCATGCTATCTGCATAAATGGTTGAAATTAAAAAGACCAGGCAGTTCAGAGAGAATCAAAGGAAGGCAGGCAGGCAGCTTTGCATGACTTTCTTCAGGACGTGTTTCATTGTGGTGATAGTGAGGGTAGTCAATCGTTTTGTTGACAAGACAGTAGTGACGGCCATCTTGGTGACGTGTGTTGTTGACCAGAGATGTAGTTCATTGAGCGTTTCACACAAACAAATGTGTTACTTCACAGTTTTACGACACATTTTATTTTTTTTGACTTGCAAAATTATCTTTTAAATTGACAAATATCATATGTGTAATTCGTGGCACAATTCAAACGGGATCGAAAGATAATCTTTCTCTCTCCATTGACTTCAATACATAATTTTTCCGAAATAAGGTCCCATGGAGGTCCACCGGAAAGGGAGGGACTTCGCCACTCTATTAAGCATTTTAAAACGTATGTGGTAAGTTGCCAAAGTGCTTTGTTTTGAACGTTCATCAGTATTATAATCAAAAAAAGAAATATGAACGTTAGTTTTTACTGAAATGATCAAATAAAGTCAACATTTCACAGTCTTTACTGAGCTGTGTGGGGTTTGTTCAACTTTGAAAAGATGTTTGAATGGTGATATACACAGTGATAGATGTTAAGGACTAACGTTTATAATAAATACATTTGTATTGATTTGAAGATCTTTTCATACAGTCATACGTATTGGGATCATTTGTATTAATGTGGACCGGAGGGAGAGGGTGACGAGCATACATTTCACTTTCCTTTTTTATTTCAATTCCAACTTTGGTCATGAAGAATATGTTTCTCTGTTGTCCCCGTTCATAAAGCATAACAGCATCAGAGCACGGTGCAGAGTCTCTAGATGAGTTTACAGTAGTCCCTCGTTCTTATTAAACATCCATGTTGTAGTCCGCTGTATAGAAAACTGTAGTTTCCATAGTTTCCCCACAGCAGCAGGCGCACATTTATGACCTCTGCTGGCGCATCATAAACACGTCGGATAGTGAAAGTGCAGTCGGATTCTCTAAAGTACCGCAGTCTCTTCTCCTACGTCCTTTTGAATTCTCCTATCCACTATCCCTTAACCCCATGACGTTTCACTCCGAGGTCAAGGAATAGACGATAGGGTTAGAACTTAGGAGCTGTTTTTTTGGAGTATTCGAACGCAACCCCGCAGTCTCTTCTCCTAAATCCTTTTGAATTCTCCTATCCACTATCCCTTAACCCCATGACGTTTCACTCAGAGGTCAAGGAATAGACGATAGGGTTAGAATTTAGGAGCTGATTTTTGGATTATTCGAACGCAACCTTGGACTCTCATCCTGCTACATTATGCAGTTTATTAGTGAACTACCACGGAACTACTTGTACACAGTAGCGTACATACACTTTTTGTGTTAAGTTTATATCAAAAAGATATTCTTTTATATAAAATTAATTGATATTAGCTGTACACTTTGCGAATATAATAGTTTTTTATGGACAACTTTACCATTAAATCCCTTCCAACTAATTTTGCTGCTGTCACTCCTCTTGCAACTCCGGGTAGCTGTCAATCAAAGTCCAGTGGCTCCGCCCCAAAGTGTCAGAAACTGTGTACGCACGCCCAGAGAGTACTCCGCGTGGGAGTCGCCGGTGCAGAGGGTCCCTTCATGTCACAGCGCAAATGCAGTAAAGCCCGTTTCCGGTGCAAGATCTGCATTATGATTGGCTAAATAACTGTTTGTTAAAAACTCTGTGTAATGATTGGGCTGGAACTGTGTGTTGGGCATTGTAGTCGGTATACTCTACTGTCAAATGTTATGCTATGACAAATGAAAGCACTTTAATGAAGCCTTATCTGGATCGAGAATATAATGGCCAACATTAATAATCACGCTCTGTATTTAACAGCTGGTTTGTTGTCAGATTCTTTTTTTCAAACAAGAACTTTTTTCTGAGATAAATCCAAAAAGTAATGCAAAAGTTGCCATAAACACCATTAATATTCTAAATGTAATGGGCAGACACTGACAGTGAAGCGAGAATAAAGAGCGACACAACCTCTTAAACTCAGTTAATACTCCGGGTAAATTGTGAGGAGCTTGAACAGGTAAAAAGATACTGACAATAGTCAAGATGTCATGATATAAAAGTATGATCTTCATTCAAATGTAACTGTGTGCAGACTCTCAAATAAAGTTAGCGACTCACCTGAGATGATTTCAACAAACAGCAACAAAAGTACGAGTTTCTTCATCATCAATCCAGGAGAAGTTGATGTCCTGCGCATTCCTCCAGCAGTTTAATACATGCACGCTCTCAGCCGGCTGCTAATTATGTGCTGCGATGTAGGCGTATTTTCACTGAAGTGGGCGCGGAGTCCGCGGAGGACTCCGCGCCCACTTCAGTGAAAATGACGCATCTAAGCGTTGATGTGCTGCATTTGGGCATAGGGCGGACTCCGCCCTATGCCCAAATGCAGCACATCAACACTCCGCCCTAGCGCAAAATGCTCCTAATGCTCCTAATGGCCCAAATGGCCCAAATGCAGCACACAACGCATCTAAGCGTTGATGTGCTGCATTTGGGCCATTTGGAGTATTCTGCGTATTCTTTTCTTCTCTCATCACACATTCAAGCCCCCAGTGTGCATGTATCATTTCAATCTAAATTCTTTACTTTCTTCTTACACATTACATTTCAGCATAGCAGTTTAGCGTCAGATTTTCAGCATAAAGCATTCCCACTAGCAATTTCTTCAGGAATTGCATTCTCTAGTTATCTCTGATATCAGGAGCATGTTCTGTGTTCGTCTGCTCGGAGACTGTTCTAGAAACTGAGGGGCTCTCCAAACAGCTCTGCTTTAAAGCTGTTGGAAGTAAAGAAGTACAGGGTCACAGGAACTCAACTGTGCCATCTCTCTGATCAACTTAAAGAACAGGTTTCAATGCAATAGGAACAACATCTAGCCTATATACAATTACGTTTACATTTGTTTTTTATTTTGAACACATTTTGTTTGATATCCGTCCTGAAAGAGAGACCCTTCCTCTTTTTCAGCTTTTCCTTTGTATCCTAAGTTGTTCATATATGATCGAGCGTCTGGACTGAGGGTTCATGGTTCAGGCTTTTATTAGTCATACGTAGCGACAGTGTAGTTTTGACGATGAAAATCTTAGTGTCATACGTTTTACAGATTGTAAAGCGCCCAGCGACAAAATGTGTTATTTGGGCTATTGAGGTAGAATATATATTAACAAACACAGTACAACATTCAAAACAAAACAAATCCAACAACAGGTAAATACAAAGAGGAAAGGTCCAAAGCAGATTTCTGGTAAATAGTATAAAACTTTATTTAAACAACTCATATATACATATTAGACATATTTACATGCATGTGTGGAAACAGTGTATTTGATGTCCAGTAATTGGGTCACATTTGGGCCGTATTGAAATATACTTTGAGAGTTTGCTGAGGGACAATTCAAAGTGGACAACAGGCAGCAGTTTGGACACCCCTGAGGTTCAGCTTGATAGTGATTGGACCCTCTTTTGTCTTAACTCTTGGTGGCATGGGGTGTTTCTCAATCGCGAGTAAAGCTGCTTCAGAGCCACTATTTCAAGCATACTACGTCATCGAGTGCCGCCGAAGTACTGTTCCAATCTCCAGCATACTTGGAAATCTACCGAGCCCGGCGTACTCCGTTTGGAGAAATATCGAGGCTGCACATGAGTAGACTCCGCGGTCTTAAAATCCCCACAATGCTTTGCGCACGGACCAATTTCCCCAAATCTGTGGCGGAAGATGTAAGAGGCGGGGCCTCTCATATGACGCACACCTGCACACTTGCTAGCGTGTTCCACACTTCGTTTTTCCGAATGCCAGGAAGTATTCTTGACTCGCTTCTGAAGCAAGATGCTCGGCAGACATGTGCTACCAAGCAAGCGTACTCGAGATTGAGAAACACCCTGAGACTCAACAAGGTTCTGGAAACATCCTCAGAGATGTTGGTCTATATTGACTCGATGGAACCTGTTATTTAAAGAGACTTCATAACAGAGTTCTTACAATTCAACGAGAGTCACATTCCAGACTTTTGACCAATTTTAAAATAACCGTTTGCAGAAAATACAAAGACATGATTCTTAAAATCCTTCCCTTCTTTCAGAGTTCAAAAAATGTTTGAAAGATTGATTTAAGACATTTTGATGCTCCTCCAACACACACAAACGCGCACATGACCAATGAGGGCACGAGATAAGTTTGTGCACAGATGGAAGGCTGACAGGCAGGTAGGCCATCCAGTTATTTTAGCCGGGCCGGCTCAGATGATTGGTCGTGCTTTTTACAGTACTACAGCTTCCACAGATGAAATATTGTTATGTATTTATTGTCAAAGCTATAGATATTCATTGCTATCAGGATGTTAAGAGCATTCCATGGAATATAACAAAAAGTGTTTCTGAAGTGAATTACCTACCCCACCTTTAAGTCATGGATATCACCACCTAGTGGTTAAAACAGATAATGCTAGTTTGTGAATGACCTCCATGTGAGGTCGGCCCAGACCCTAGGGGTTTTTAAATCTACACTAAAAACACACTTCTTCTCTCTGGCCTTCTAGTTAGAGCGGAGCACGACTCCTGACTTTTCCTTGTGTTTTTTTTATTTTTTATATATATCTGTTGTAATTTATTGTCTTTATTGTGATTGTCGTAATGTGTTTTTATTACATGTATAGCACTTTGGCTCGACCAAAAATCGCTTTTAAATGTGCTTTATAAATAAAACTTGATTTGATTTTGATTTGAATATAGATTTTATATTGATTGATGGCCCAGCCCTATGTTTGTCAGGGGATATTGAAAGGTATATTCTGCCTTGATTGACCCTTTAATAGACCGTATCTGATGGTTGATTGTTGTTGTCTTTGACTTCTGACCCCACCAGGCCTTCTTCTGCTGTGACCTCTGACCCCACCAGGCCTTCTTCTGCAGCGCTCTGCTGATCTCCCTCTGAGGTCTTCGGCTCTCCTTCTTTCTTACAATTCGCTATGAAAACATTAAACACAGTTTTAGAGACTTCATACAATGAAGGAGAGGTTGTGTGTTCTGAGGCCCTGTTCTGCTCTCTGGGTTCTCCCTCTCCTGTAGTTCTTCAGGTTTCAGTGCATGTAAATGGTCTGCAAAGGCTAACATCCCTGTGCTCCCTCAGAGGGAGTTTCTCTCCTAAGCCATTGCCTTATATTCTGATATTGGATACTGTTTTTTTAACTTTAAGTCATATTATACGTTTGTATTACATGGCTTAGTTGAATACTCGATTCTGATTAGTCAATTCACAACACGTGACACGTTAATCCAGTAGTACAGACCGCTGTCAAGGATTTATTGACCGTTAAGTACGCTCACATCTGCAGAAAGAAGTCAGGTTGATTTAACTTTATACAGTTTGGCCGAAAAGCAAACTGCATGCAGATTGCTTTTCAAACTGTTTGCTTGTCTTTAGTTTTCCGTTGTCTCCCGTCTGAGAGTAACATGGAGGATTTTAATATTAATTTAAATATAGCAGAGTAATTTGGATGAATGGTTAGTGGGTGACGAGTCCCCTGCGAAGGAAATATCTAGATACTTTCCAAGGTTTGACATAATGAATTGTGCTACTTTTAAAGCAAGCAACGATGTTTTCAAATCTGTAATCAAAAAGGTCCTAAAAAACGCTATCGAAGCAGTTCCTGCCGTTGCCACGTTAGTTCAAACAGTAACAACGGACTATTTTTCTTAGCGGATGCATGTAAATTTAAATCAATAAAACGACTTTTTAAATCAATAAAAACATTTTTCTAAATCTATATAAGCATTTCACAGGGATGGAACGAGGGGACCGTGCGGCAGAGTTTCAGTTTCAGTTACTTTCGCCGGTCAAGATGTCCGTTAAAGTTTAAATCTTCCGGACAAAAGGGCAGCAAATTGTCTAGACCCGGCCCTGGTACTAAGCCTCAAGAGCCTTTCTTGTACTGGCAGACACATAGAAACAAATTGGCAGGGCGCACTTCGCACGTGCACACACTAAAAAAATTCCACGCGCTCCGCGCTCACATTATGCTGGGCCCACGTGCCTTAGCACCGCTGCTATGACTCCATCCTAGGGGAAACACTGCAATCCATTTGTAACTTTCCACCAACACACAAATGATATTGAGACAGATCTGAGAACAGATTTCTGCCCCCTGCTGTTACAGAGTTTCTTCCTCTCACACAGGTGTATATGATAGTTGGATGTGGTTTTTGTAGTGTGTTCAAATGTTTTAGGCACGTCCAGCGCAGCACCTCTGCATGCAAGGCACTGATAGTTCCAGTGATGGTTAATGATCACTTCACAAGGAGGGCTTGATCAGAAACAATATTCTACAATTAGAAACCCTATCCTCTAAACAGAGTGAAATAAAAATGTAAAACACAGTCTGAGGTCAGCACACTTCTAGAGACGATGCAGAGGGATTATTTAGTACGAGTCAATACATGGGCTTCTAGGAAATCCTACCCTACGTGCATTTAAGTTCAGAGTTTCAGCAAGATTCACAAAACTGATAATACAGTTCTTTAGAGCAGGAACTTACGGATCACTCCACGTTCCACCAGAAACCAAACGACAGCAACAACGACAGCAACAGGAATTAGGACACCGAGGAGGGCAGCTTTCCAGACATCTGCAGCTGAAAGTTGAAAGAAGGGCAGAATCAGAGGTGGTTCAGTTTTTCCCCAACATAATATGTGTTGGAGATATTCATTGATTTATATATTTAAAAAGTGAAACATGTATTTTCTTGCATTTCTTAAATATTGAAAGGACATTTACCAGGATCTCCCTCAGCTGGAGGTGCAGGTGTTCCTGAGTCCTTTCTCTTGCTCTGTTCCTCCTCCTTCACTGTTTCAATGGAAAAGGGTCTTATTAGGGAACAAGGTTCTCTCTTTTCTGCAGTTTCTTTATGTTAATCTTAAACAGAAATACAAAAAATAAGCCTCGAGAAGCACTTGAGGAAAAAAACAAACATGTTCAGTGTTTCCCCTAGGATGGAGTCATAGCAGCGGTGCTAAGGCACGTGGGCCCAGCATAATGTGAGCGCGGAGCGCGTGGAATCTTTTAGTGTGTGCACGTGCGAAGTGCACCCCGCCAATTTGTTTCTATGTGTCTGCCAGCACAAGAAAGGCTCTTGAGGCTTAGTACCAGGGCCGGTTCTAGCCAATTTGCTGCCCTAGGCGAGATTTTATATATAAAGAATAAATGAAAAATCTCTACAAAAGACAAATACACTACAAAAACAGAAACTTATTGACATAGGTAATATACGTCATAATGGCTTCAAATGTATTCAGTATTGTATGAACATGTTTGAATTGGGAGATGGACGTCACCTCCTCTAGGGGGGTCCGGGGGTATGCCCCCCCCCGGGAAGATTTTTTTGAACATTTTAAAGTAAAATGCTTCAATCTGGTGCACTTTGAGCACACATTACTAGAGACCTGATCTTGGGGGTACAATTCTAAAACACCCATATGAAGAAGATCGGTTTACATTTTAATAATCAAATAAGTATGTGAACATAACCAATAACCTACCATAGCCAATAACAAATAAATGTAACTTTTTTATTTTTGTTGTTCATTCATATCTTATTTTACCTAGTTAACATTTATTTATTCATGCATATTTTTGTATCTCTCCAACTTTAAACAATATTTTTGGTTACTGTCCTATAGCATACATTGGAATGATTTCAAACCTGTTTTTATTTATCCTAATAATTATGAAGGAGTGCCTTGGAAATATGTGTTTACATAATTTGTGGTCAAAACGTTTGAGACCCACTGAGATAACTTAGACTAAATGAACTATCTAAACACTCAGAGAGTCCTTTACCTCACTGAGCCTCTCAGTCTGACAGGAGAGCTCTCCTCCACCCTGGTTGTAGAAACATCTACTTCTCATATCCGTTAGAGCAGCTAGCACCAGATTCTAATAACAACAGCGCCGGTACCGGTGCGCCCTCTCTCTCTCTCTCTCTCTCGCTCTCGCTCTCTCTCTCTCTCCCTCGCTCGCACTTTGGCTGTGAGCTGCGGGCTCCTGATAAGCCAACATCCCCCACTTTCATCACTCGTGATTGCCCATCGTACAGGGCAAATGAAAAGTGTAACCGGGGTGAAAAGGGTGTTTCATTTATTTAATTATGAATGTTGTTACATCAAGGCCAAAAATTAGGATGAGCGCCAACGGTCAAAAATGTTTTTTCCCCTCCCAGAGCTACCAGCGCAGCGCCCCCCAGATCTGGCACCCTAGGCGACCGCCTATGTCTCCTATGCCAAAAATCGGCCCTGCCTAGTACATACAGTGGCAATGTCTCAAGATTTAGCAAAAATACGCCTTCATTGAACATACAGTAACACAAATACTACAAATCCACATAACAAACAATCAAAAATGAAAAAGGGTCGCAACTTATTATTATTTTAATTTAAAAAAGTAATGGTTTCTTTTTTTTTTATACCTGGCTGGCACCCTCTAGCAGCGGCGCGCATATTTCAGCAGCGGCGCTGCGCCGCCACTATTTGTATATAGGGGAAACACTGATGTTGTTACGTATCTCCTGTGTTTATTCCTTTTAGCAAAGTGTATGTTTGCTACAAGAGAATAAAGTAACAGTAGGAGCCGACATGCTAAGTTAGCCTGTGTTTGTTGTTGATCTGGTAACTGATCATCTCAGGTATTTGTCACATGGTGTGGTTTCTGGTATTTAGAGCACCTGCATGATCATTTCTGACGTGGAGCTAATCTGAAGTAAACATTGAATACTGCTTTCTATTCCTCCATCTTGTGACTGTGTAACTCCCTCTCTTGGATATCAGCATGTGAAGGACACTGTTCAGGAACTAGTTGATGCTCTGTATGTGATGACTACTTCCATTCTGGAGAGGATCACAAATACATGGATCCTGAGATTGAAGCTCAAGCTGGTGACGAGTGATATCTTTCTAACATTAAGTTTCCGTGTTGAACTCAGTGTGCTTACCTACGATGAATTCGACAGAACACTTCAACTCCAAAGGGTCGTCGTGGCCTGCAAGCTTTCCAATGACGACACCTTCGTAGTTTCCACTGTCAGACGGAGTCACATTGGAGATGTTCACCAGCAGGATTCCTCTGGCCAGGTCCTCCAGGCTCAGAGAAGTCCTGTGTTTGTATTGAGCATCTGCTGCGTCAGGATCAATCCATCCTTTATGTCGAGAGAAGAGGACATCCTTGGTGTTGTTAACTTTCCAGTGCAATGCTTTAGGGGTGAAGTTTTCGGGGCGATTGAAGCGACACCAGACTGCAGCGTTTTCTCCTGAAACCGCCTGGATCATCTGAGGGCTGGCAGGACGAGGCGCTGCTGGGAAACAAAGGTAACAACTTTTACACTTCTGAAGATTTACAGCACGTTCAAACAACAAGGCAAGTAACATGTAAAACATTCAGACATTAAGGTTGCATTCACACCTAAAAGTCGCTTCTCTGGTGCGCACCAGACGACAGTTTATTTCATCGTTTCATTTTTCAGAAGGTTCGGTTTGCGTTCACACGGGCAAAACTCAAACGGACTATAAACTTTAAAACACAAGTCATGTGCTCGGAAATACTGTTCAACCATTGGTCAGACATTAAGGGGGTAAAAACGCAAATCCCGGCAATTTCTACCATAGCTTTGGAGCATCGGCAGGTTATTTTCATGCTGCTGTTCATCTGGAGTACAACAGACTCTAGCAGACTGATGATGATTATATAATCAGACGACGTGCGATAAAAAACATTATAACATATAATGAGAGACGTTCTGCAGTCAGGAGGAGGTTTCACCGACGACAGGTGGCTCTGACTTTTATGTATAGTTTTTAGTTTGATAGTTGTTTTTACTTTACACGACACTGTTCAACACTTCGTTCTGCTTCACTCTTTCACTTAAGATGTTGAAGACATCCACGTTCTTGTGACACGTAAATACTACGCTTCCTGTGTTTTGGTGCAGACTGCGTTCACACCAGAGATGATCCGCTCCAGAGTTCACTAGCAAGCGGTCCGAGACCACCTCTTTTAGGACCAGAGTCCGGTTGTTTAGTTCACTTCAGAGGTCTCAGACTGCGTTCACACCGACCCACACGGCTGGTGTGAATGCGAACTCAGACACAGTAGAAAATGACATTTAAAAATAGTCACTAAGGAGCCAAAAAACAGGATCAAATACAATTTCAGTTGAATATCAATATATTGTCCAGCTTTAGCTCCATCTCTTGTCCCGAGATCCACTTTGATAGTCTAGATGCACTCTCCACACACAACAACAACAGGTGCTGCAATCTCTTTCCTGCATTTAAATCATCTCAGCTAAAGAGAGTTTTATTTGCTTTTCGCCTGTTATGAATATGTGAAACAAGCACAATGCATAAGCATATTGCATATTCTGTGTCGTAAAGTCATGTCTTCTAATGTAATTAAGATAAACCTTTGAAATGCCTGTAGGGAATTCAGGTGTGAGAGAAGCAAGAGGAAAAAGTGTAAACACAGGATTGAACCGGTAACAGCATAAATAAAAAACAACAAGGTGTTTCTGTGTAGAAAGGTACACAGTGTATATGAGTTTATACACATATATAGGTCTATACAAGTAAAAACTGAATATGTGATAGATGTACTATGCAGCTTTTATTGTGTACTTATTTACCACACCTCTTAAATAAAGATAAAAGCTCAAATAAGGGTTTAGTTAAACAAAATCCAACATGCCAAGCAAAAAACAGACAGTAATGGCGACTGTAATTCACCATTTTGTCTCTCTGACCAACGTCAACAACTTGATAAATAAAATCAGGGGATAAATTGTGCCGGGGCAGTCAGTCACACATAGGACGATGCTCTGACGTCATCCTAGTGTCACACCGTTCATGTGGAGCAATTTGTCTAAACATTTAGCAAAAGTGCACCACATTCACACGGAGAAATACATGGTTTGTATAGTACAAAATAAATTATATATATTTGTAAGTGTGATTGGTTGAGCGGATGTATCACATTCTGTAGAGAAGGGAGACTGGCGTTTGTCGCTGTTTGGAAAGAAAGTGAGAAAACAGGACAGAATAACACGGCGGATATTGCGTTTTGCGGAAAATTGAATATTGACTTTTCAATACCGACGAAATACAATACTGATTTCGGCAGGAACTCATTTTTTCCAAAAGTGGCGTTTATCGCGTTTTGGAACCAAACTCTTCATATCATTTATGGACGATTCTTAAGTTCAACGTAGTACATTAAACACTTGAACAGAGCGCATACTGTCAATGTCAGGTTTATAACATCACAATAATACCGTTTTGGTAAATAACAACACACCAATGCACGCGCTACGGTACCAACCAGAGTAGACATGTAACTTTATAAATTAACTTACCCACGACAAGGTGTGACAGAGTCAGGAGAGTAAGTATATTCTCGCTCATTATTAGATCAAAACAGCGACAACTTAAAGTAAAAAGGGTATAAACAAGAAAACGTGTAGCCGATCAGCCCGGTTCTGTTGAATGAATGAGAGAACGTTTCCCGCGGAGCATTTAAGGGCAAAAATCCTCGGGGTCCTCCCCCAGCCCTAGCCTAGTGACTCTACAGAACCTCTTTTTAAACGGGTCTCCTTTCTTAAACACAGATAATCAAATAAAAGCTAGTTTTCCCTAAACAAATTAACAGAAAAGCAACTACAATGTGTCTTTTTATTAGCTTTTTTCCTTAGTAAAGGTTGTAGTATATAGTGCCGCGCGCAGTTATACACCACTGGCGACACAAGGTAGTGCGGCAGTTACGGAACCTTGTTACAGTAAAAAATCCAGCATTCAAAATGTTACTCAAGTAAAAGGAGAAGTACTCAGATCTTGTACTTGAGTAAAAGTAGAAGTACCAGAGTGTATGAATACTCTGTGAGAGTAAAAGTCCTGCATTCAAAATGTTCCTCAAGTAAAAGTAGAAAAGTATCATCATCAAAATATAGTGAAAGTAGCGACAGGTAAAGTAGTCATTGTGCAGATTGGTCCATTTCAGAATAATATATATGATATGTTTTATAATGATTGATCATGAAAGTGTTCTCAAAGCTGGTAAAGGTGCAGCTAGTTTGAATGACTTTGTATACTGCAGGGTAGCTTGTGAATTTACTCCAGGTGGAACTAAAGTCTGATTTAACACTTGATTATAATTCACATCATTCATCCAGATCTGTAACTAAAGGTATTAAATACATGTAGTGGAGTACAAGTACACCATTTACCTCTGAACTGTAGAGGAGTAGAAGTTGCAAAAAAGGAAATACTCATGAGCAAGTACCTATAAATTGTAGTAAAGTACAGTACTTGAGTAAATGTACTTTACACCACTGCGTGTCATCATTAAAATGTAACTATATCCATCATAGCAAGTAAAAAAACCTACAGTAATGGCGACTGTCATTATTACCCATTTTGTCTCTGACCAACGTGAACAACTTATATATATATATAATCTATGATCAATTCAAAGTAGTACATTAAACACTTGAACAGAGCGCATACTGTCAATGTCAGGTTTATAACATCATAATAACACGTTTTATGTAAATATATAATAAGGTATAAACAAGAACACGTGACGCCGCTCAGCCGTGTACTTCCGTGTATTTCGGTGCCGGAATGAGGCGTGAGTTTCTCCCGCGCAGGATTTGAGAAACAAAACCTCGCGGGGAAACAAACCCTCGCGGGAGGATCGGAAGTCTCGGCTTATCCAGAACCTCCTTTTACATTCTTCAAAATAAAAGCTTTAGTTCAACATTTATCCGTCATAAACTGTAGTGATGTTAGAACATATCAATTCACCTCAAGCGTTTCATTAGAGGTGGGAGAAGTACTCTGATCTTGTACTTGAGTAAAAGTAGAAGTACTCACATCTTGAGTAAAAGTACTCAGATCTTGTACTTGAGTAAAAGTAGAAGTACTCACATCTTGAGTAAAAGTACTCAGATCTTGTACTTGAGTAAAAGTAGAAGTACTCACATCTTGAGTAAAAGTACTCAGATCTTGTACTTGAGTAAAAGTAGAAGTACTCACATCTTGAGTAAAAGTACTCAGATCTTGTACTTGAGTAAAAGTAGAAGTACTCAGATCTTGAGTAAAAATACTCAGATCTTGTATTTGAGTAAAAGTAAAAGTACTCAGATCTTGAGTAAAAGTACTCAGATCCTGTACTTGAGTAAAAGTAGAAGTACTCAGATCTTGAGTAAAAATACTCAGATCTTGTACTTGAGTGAAAGTAGAAGTAACTTCAATGGTTACATTAGTTAGTCTCCCTGCAGTTCAACCTGTAGTCTCTGAGTTCAACAAGCACAGATATTAAGGTTTCCTTCAGAGAATAAACGAGAATCATGAATTAAATAATGAACTACATCTTCTTCAATATTATTCCCCCTACTTGGGTTTATCAAATGAAAGTATCAGTAAGATTATTACCTGAGAGAAACTGTGAGAGTAGTCCACATGTTGAAAGCTGTCTGTAGAATGTGGGGAGAAACGAACAGTGGGCGGAGTCTCGGGTTAGTTTCCTTCAGTTTGGCGGGTTTTTAGGGCTTTCGCTGGTCTGATTGGCTGGAGTCACAGCGTCGGAGGCGGGGTCATGGATGTATAATTAGAGCCACCAACCGTCGGTACATTTCCTGGTAAATGATTAGCCTAAACTGAACCCTCCCGCCTTATCCACAATTATTCTCTATCTTTATATTGCATTACTAACTGTTATTATCTGTTTATATTTATTGTTTTTTTATTGTTCCTTTATTAATTAATATGCTGCTTTGACAAAACTATTTACCAAATTCGGATTCATAAAATAAATCTAAATTAATCTAATCGATTGTCAGACAAAGCACTTTGTAAAACCTGTTTTCTAAGATATTATATTAATACATTATTTTATTTATTAGCCAAAAAGGGAATTTACTTCAGAAAATCCTTAAAACAATTGTTCTAAATAAGCAAAACAAGATTAATAGAAAAAGCAAAAAGCTATAATGGTGGACTTTTAGCCCTCATTTACTAATCCCTTAGTGTGCATTAGCATTAGGCAGTGCTACTGTATCATTTCAATGTTATTCTTCTACTCCACTACATTTCAGAGGGATATAATCAGGGGCGCCGTAAGGGGGTGAAAAGTTAGGACGATTCTAAGGGCCCGTGACTGACAGGGGACCAAACCATTTTAGAACATTAAGAAAAAAATGTTTAAGTAACCAATTGCGATATCTTTTCATGGGGCCCAAAATCACTGGCGGCGCCCCTGGATATAATGTACAGTCTGACAGCTTTAGTTACCTTCAAAAGCTCATTCACTTCAGTTCATTACTAAATCTTGAACCCCTAATTGTTAAACATTACACGTTACTTGTAAGACACTTTTATCCAAAGCGACTTGCATACATTCGGTACTATGGGCAATCCCCACAGGAGCGACTTGGGGCGAAGTGTCTTGCCCAGGGACACAACGACATGCTGACTGCAGTGGGACTCGAACTTGCTATCCCGATTCAAAGATCAGCGCACTAACAAACCCCAGCCAAACCATCTACAACAGTAACATACTGCATATGCAATTTAACGAACCCTGTGTTTATTTATTCCAACATATCTAAGAGAGCGAGGATAACATTCACTGTAAAATGAAGAATAAGCAAACTATGCATCACTTAAAGGTGGGGTAGGTAAGTTTGAGAAACCGGCTCGAGATACACTTTTTGTTATATTCCATGGAATGCTCTTAACATCCCGATAGCAATGAATATCTTAAGTGCTTTGACAAAAAAATCCATAAAAAAATGTCATCTGTGGAAGCCGTAGTACTGTAAAAAGCACGACCAATCATCTGAGCCGGCCCGGCTAAAATAACTGGATGGCCTACCTGCCTGTCAGCCTTCCATCTGTGCACAAACTTATCTCGTGCCCTCATTGGTCATGTGAGCGTTCGTGTGTGTTGGAGGAGGGGCTCTGTAAGGAAGTGGCAGATTTTTTCCGGCTGTGTATTTTCAAATTCTAGCGCACTCGAGTTGGTTTCTCCAAAATTACCTACCCCACCTTTAAAACACATCATGCTCTCAGTGAGAATTAGAGATAAGTGACAAAATATTCATAATAAAGTTTTGTATTTTCAGCTGTAGTGCCCAGTTTGAGTCAGATTCTACACAAAAACTCATACAATCAATCCAAGATAAAGTTATAACAGTGACACCAACAGATGTTCAATGTGTCTTTGATTATCTTTGTGTAGTGCTAATGCCACTTTGACTTTATTTAAGGATTTACATGTTTTCCCCAATCATTTCAAATGACAGACCCATTAAAACACATACATCATAGCAGGAAGAGAACACAAAAACACCTTGCATCAGTTACCCTTTTTCCCCATATTTATTTGAAATGATTTCAAATGATAAAAACATGGTTGATTAACATGAAATGACCACAGGGGTTTTTGCTCTTCAGCGTGGACAGTGTGAGGAGACGTTAACGTGAGCATACATCCGGGACAGGAAGTGTAGTGACATCGTTTAGTCTTCGTCTCTACACTACCCGTCAGGTGGATTCATACCAAACGGGATCCCCAGAATGTTGGCTCGTTGGCAAACATCGTCGCACACATCCATTCAGCTCATTCACCCTCATGGCCGAACATCCAGAGAAGTGCTACTATCACACCAAAGCTCACGACTTGTTATAATCATTTCTCTTTCCTATATTACAAGCTTTTTACAACATAAAAATAGATCAATAACTATGATTACCATATTCCTTAATGTCAATATACAATATTTATTGCGTTTTCAAATAAACTTGTTTCTTATTTACCTTGTTGTCGTCATCATCTTTACCCTTTTATACATCTTTTTTTTCAAACGAGAACTTAATTGTTTTTGAGATAAAGCCAAAAAGTAATGTAACAGTTGCCATAAACACCATTAACATTCTGATTGTAATGGGCTTTATTGTCAATCTTTCAGTTTGTGTGTACAGACAGAGATATCGAAATACCGTTTCCCACAATCCCGAATACAAAAACAAAAATATGTATATACTACCTATATACACAATCAACAGACACATTTATACATATGCACAAATTAAGATCTAAATAAAAGCACAACAATCAATATATACAAAATAACAGTCATTTCAATTTCTTTGAGAAATGTACATCAGTGCAAAGTTTTCTGTATTCGTCTGGTCGGAGACTGTTATAGAAACTGAGGAGCTCTCCAAACAGCTCTGCTTTAAAGCTGTTGGAAGTAAAGAAGTAATCTCTCTAATCAATTTATAGAACAACTGCAGGACTTATATTTGTTTTTGTTTTTTAAGTCATATGGATATCACCACCTAGTGGTTAAAAACAGATAATCACAATTTCAAAATGACATGATTTCAATGTAATGCTGCTTTAAAAACATGGAAGAGAGAACACACACATATCATGAAGCCAACATGATACCATGTCTGTCACAATATAGATGTTATATTGATTGATGGCCCAGCCCTATGTTTGTCAGGTGATATAGAAAGGTATATTCTGCCTTGATTGACCCTTTAATAGACCGTATCTGATGGTTGATTGTTGTTGTTGACCTCTGACCCCATCAGGCCTTCTTCTGCAGCGCTCTGCTGATCTCCCTCTGAGGCTGCAGGGTTCTCCTTGTTAAAGGAAATTACCTTTGGTTCTCCTTCTTCCTTACAAATCGCTGTGAAAACATTTTAAACAGTGTTAGAGACTTCATAAGGCAGTGTTTCTCAAAGTGGGGGGTGCGCCCCCCCCCCTGGGAGAGGCATGACAGGGGGGGCCCGAGAGACCAGGAGGAAAAATGGATATGAGAAAAAAAAGAAATCATAATTTGGAAAATTATTGATTCGAAAAATAATATGACACAGTACAGTACAAGTACGTCTGGCTCTCTGTTTCATTCAAGCTCGGCTCTGTGTGCGTGTGTAACGAGCCATTTTGTGTGTGAGCGAGAGAGAGAGAGAGAGCGCGCACCGGTACCGGAGATCGTTGTTGTTAGTTTCTGGTGCTAGCGAGCTACGCTAACGGATTTAAGGAGCTTTTTCAACAACAAGAGGCGCGTTCACACCGGAGTACTTTTCCCCGTTTAGTTCCGTTAGTACCCCTTATGTCGCATTCACCCAAAAAGAGAACTTAGTTCAGAGAACTTTTACCCCCATGTTTAGTGCCTGCTAGAGAGGTGGTACTATCCTGGGGAGAAAAAAGTACCAATTTCTATTGGCTGGGCGGATTGCAAACCACGCCCCGTAAAACTCCCAAAAAGTTTTGTGAAGCCGCCATTTTATTATCCTTCTGACGCTGCGTGAGTTCCCCGACACACCGTGGACACATCTTTATGTATAAAAGACATCAAAAAATGCATTTTGCATGATAGGTCCCCTTTAAATCATATTATACGTTTGTATTAGATAATCATCTAAATCTAAAAATAACTGTAGTGGAAGAAAACTACAATATCATTATTTTTAGATGTAGTGGAGTAGAAGTATAGAGAAGCATGAACTGAAAACACTCAGGTAAAGTACCTCCAACATGTTCTTAAGTACAGTAAGTCCATTTGTAACTCTACACCACTGACAGACACACATTTGCACAAAGCTTGTTGAGCTGTTCACACAAATGATATTGAGACAGATCTGAGAACAGATGTCTGCCCCCTGCTGTTACAGAGTTACTTCCTCTCACACAGGTGTAAATGATAGTTGGATGTGGTTTTTGTGGTGTGTTCAAATGTTTTAGGCACGTCCAGCGCAGCACCTCTGCATGCAAGGCACTGATATTTCCAGTGATGGTTAATGATCACTTCACAAGGAGGGCTTGATCAGAAACAATATTCTAAAATGAGAAACCCTATCCTCTAAACAGAATGAAATAAAAATGTAAAACACAGTCAGAGGTCAGCACACTTCTAGAGACGATGCAGAGGGATTATTTAGTACGAGTCAATACATGGGCTTCTAGGAAATCCTACCCTATGTGCATTTAAGTTCAGAGTTTCAGCAAGATTCACAGAACTGATTATACAATTCTTTAGAGCAGAAACTCACGGATCACTCCACGTTTCACCAGAATCCAAACGACAACGAGAGCGACAGCAACAGGAATTACGACACCGAGGAGGACAGCTTTCCAGACATGGTTCCTCTTCTCTGCAGCTGAAAGTTGAAAGAAGGACTGAATCAGAGGTGGAGAAAAAAAGCCTTGAGAAGCACGTGAGGAACAAAACAAACATGTTGTTACGTATCTCCTGTGTTTATTCCTTTTAGCAAAGTGTATGTTTGCTACAAGAGAATAAAGTAACAGTAGGAGCCGACATGCTAAGTTAGCCTGTGTTTGTTGATCTGGTAACTGATCATCTCAGGTATTTGTCACATGGTGTGGTTTCTGGTATTTAGAGCACCTGCATGATCATTTCTGACGTGGAGCTAATCTGAACTAAACATTGAATAATGCTTTCTATTCCTCCATCTTGTGGCTGTGTAACTCCCTCTCTTGTATATCAGCATGTGAAGGACACTGTTCAGGAACTAGTTGATGCTCTGGATGTGATGACTACTTCCATTCTGGAGAGGATCACAAATACATGGATCCTGAGATTGAAGCTCAAGCCGGGGACCAGTGATATCTTTCTAACATTAAGTTTCCGTATTGAACTCAGTGTGCTTACCAACGATAAATTTGACAGAACACTTCAACTCCAAAGGGTCGTCGTGGCCTGCAAGCTTTCCAATGACGACACCTTCGTAGTTTCCGCTGTCAGACGGAGTCACATTGGAGATGGTCACCAGCAGGATTCCTCTGGCCAGGTCCTCCAGGCTCACAGAAGTCCTGTGTTTGTATTGAGCATCTGCTGCGTCAGGATCAATCCATCCTTTATGTCGAGAGAAGAGGACATCCTTGGTGACGTTAACGGTCCAGTGCAATGCTGTAGGGGTGAAGTTTTCGGGGCGATTGAAGCCACACGAGACTGCAGCGTTTTCTCCTGAAACCGTCCGGATCAGCTGAGGGCTGGCAGGAAGAGGCGCTGCTGGGAAACAAAGGTAACAACTTTTACACTTCTGAAGATTCACAGCACGTCCAAACAAGTCAAATAACATGTAAAACATTCAGACATTAAGGTCGCATTCACACCTAAAAGTCGCTTCTCAGGTGCGCACCAGACGACAGTTTGTTACATTGTAACCTAATGTCTTCCTTCAAAGCCAGGTGTGTTTCTTGAAGAAAAATTATTCTGACTGCCGCTAGCTGAAGCTTGCTTGCTTGCTAGGTTACTAGCTGGGTGTTCTCCGATAAGGGGCCGGTGGAAACAAAGTTAGTGATTACTGGTTCCATGTTGATTTATTTCAATACAAATTGTTGGGGGGAACTGAAAGGCTCTTACCGTACTGGTTACTTTTCAGCCCGGACATTTCCCCCAAAACACATTTAGACGCGATCTCAACACAGAAGTACCTTTCAAATCCGATCATTTTTAAGACCTTCTAAATCATATTTAAGACCTTTCTTATTTTTTTGGTCATATTTACGACCTTTTTAAGACCTTAAATTCAGATTATCAAATGTAAGACCCCGCGGGAACCCTGCTTATTACACATCGATGAGCAGAGCCGACAAGCAGGAAGACTCGAGCACACAGCTCGCGCTTCATTATACTATATAAAAAAAGAACACCATGCGTGTCATGATGGCACATAACAGCTCGCGGCCGCAGATTACTCCGGGTCCCAGAACCCCCCTATACCCCAAAAATATTTTTATTGCAGATCTACATGAATCACACAAACTACCTATTTTTCATTCAAAACGGCGAATTTCGCCGAAAGGTGACAAGTTTGCATCCCTGAATAACAATAACTCATCTCTCACGGTTCTTTTTCTGCTTTGCCAAACGCCAGTGTCAAGTGTCCTATTAGAGTTGCCGTATGTAGTTGTCCAATATGGCGGACCATCTCGCACATGCGCAGTACAGATCAGGCACGGGGGCAGATCGGGTAGTGACAGTAAACCGATGTTCATCTAAAACTTTACTAACGTTTTCCCAATCACTCTAATAATTATAAAGTGACAATGTGTGCATAACCCTTTAAACATAAGAAAATAACGAGTCACATTTATATGAATTGAGGCGAAGCAAAAACAGAGAGATACCGCCGAATAGCTTAGCCTTTAGCTATCCGTAGCGTTAGCCCCCAGTCAGGGAGCTCCGCTGGTATCCTTTTCCACCCGAACCAAAACATATCAATAAGTCCGTGTTATATGTATATAAAAAGACACAAGGTTGTAAAATAACATAACAAATATAAAAATGATTCAGTATTTTAGCGATTACCTTGCTCAACTCAGATCAGAACGTAGCAGCCAAGAAAAGGATACCAAGGATGGCCGTATTTTAATGTTCTGTTCCTTGTAGCCCCGTACGCTAACGGGAGCTTGGATGCTAGGCTGTAGTGATGTGTCGGTCGCGAACGAGCCGATTCTTTTGAACGGCTCTTTGGTACGAACGAGGGGAACCGAGTCGTACTTGGTGAGAGCCGTTCTTGTTATCGTTCAATCGTTGGTCCGCACTCACTGCCTGCCAAAATCCACTCGCCTTTTAAAAAGCTTGATTTTGTTCCCCAAACGTATTCTGTGAAGATCCGCCCCTACTCTGTTTGGTAGGTTTCAGCACGAGGAGTGAGATGGGGTGGGTGTTAACGGAATACGCGAGAGAGAGAAGTCATAACAAGTGGTACAGGACAGGTAGACAACGTGTTTTTCGGATGGAAAATGAGCCAAACGCGAAAACGCAGCAGCATTTGGATTCACTTCAACCAAAACCCAGGCAGTGATAAAGCGCACCATTTGTAAAGGCAAAAATATCCTTTAAAGCAGGGTCAACAAATAATCTCCATCGCCACTTAAAAACACAGTATCTAATATTAAGAGTTGCATGAATTTCATTCAAGGCAAGGCAACTTTATTTACTTAACACATACAGAGGGTAAATTCAAAGTACATTCACTGACAAGATGACATGGATATGGCGCCACCTTGTGTGATGTTTACAATGCCGATTATTGACATTAGGTCTGGCAATACAGTCAATCATTATCCTGGTGATTATTTTGCAAATAAACCTAGTAACCTTAAAAAAAACGGCTCTTTTGAACGGCTCTTTTGAACGGCTCTTTGAAAGGAACGGAGCCATAAGATCCGGCTCCCTTCAAAGAGCCATAATTCCCATCACTACTAGGCTGGCAAGCTAGTCCGTTCTTCGGCCTTATTGCCCTGTGCAACCCGTCATCTCCTCCTCAATTTGCCTGATAAAGGCCTCCACGTTCGCTGGTTTCTCGAAAGTTTGTGTTTTCTCTTTATGTGTCACCAGCAATTTGGCAGGAAGAAGCATGCCGTATCGAATCACCATGGTGCGAAGTGTCTGCCTCACGGCGTCGAATTCCTTCTGCTTCTTGTGTATCCCGGCCGCCAGGTCTGGGTAGAACCGGACCGGCCTATCTTTGTAGAGTAGTTGCTTTTTGGCTCTGACCGCTTTCAGCACCGTCATCTTGTCTCTGTCATTCAGACATTTCATGATCAGTGTTCTCGGGGGAGCATTTGGATCGCTTCTCTGACCAATTATGTGTGCGCGTACCAGGATTAGCTTCGAGTTTAGCGAGGAGATGTCCGGGCCTCCGGGAACCACTTTTCCAGAAAGAAGCAGGCGTCGTCGCCTTCCGCCTTCTCCGGCATATTTACCAGCCTTAAGTTAGAACTTCTTGACCTTGCTTCCAAGTCGATAACATTGTCCTCCATTTCTTTGTTTTTACTTTCGAGGCTCTGTACCTTAGCCTGTAGGTGGACGATAGTGTCCTCGGTACTGTTAACACGTTCCATGCATTCTCCGACCCCATTCCAGCAATTGCAGCCAATACTCCATCCTGTCTGTTGGATAAGTCTGTTTTTAAGTCTTTGATAGCTTCGAGAATTGGTGGTGGTGTTACTTGCTGCTTCATCTCCGGCGTTCCAAACATTCCCATCCGCCATTGGGTTAGCATTAGCACTAGCTGTAGCTTCTTCACCCTGTTTGGACGGGCCAACATCTATTTTAGACTGGGTTCTGTGCGGTCTTTACCGGATCTTTTTGAGGTAGAAGGCATCAGGGTATTCTTAGCAAATGTATTGCTCGCGTTATCGTCGTAGTTCGTTTGGTTTAATACGATTGTGCGGAGGAGAAAGAAACATGTCTGTCTAGCGCCGCCATACCGGAAGTCAAGCGGTCCTTTTTAAATCATTGAGATTGTATATAAGGAATTTAACAAAAAACACAAGATAATTATTTACACTGTGACATTTACAAATAGCATTGTTTACTCACTCATACAGTGTATGGGACTGCAACCATAGTCTTACTGTATTTTATTTTGAAAGTGCAGGCTGCTACTCTTTACAGGCTTGCCCTGTTAAGAGTAGCAGTTAAGAGTAGCAGCCGCAAGGAGTTTTGGAGTGTGTAAATTGTGATGGCCAAGGCGAAGTGCGGAGGTATGAAGAGAGAGACGAAAGTATGGAGAAAGTGGTCAGAAAAGGAAAAGTATCTAGTCTGTATGTATGTAATACAGTGTCAATGTAACCGATTACTGTGAAGAACGTGAATAAACGGAGGTTCTTCCCACGGCACCCGAACGCCCCGTTTTCATCCTTTTCCTTTTCAGCTGGCTGAAGACGAGTCAAGTGAAGTCAGAAACAAAAGTCTCAACCGGAACAAGAGGTAAATTGCGGCTCTGTTCGCAGCTTAAACTCCATCATAAATGTAGTCTACGTTTCATATGATGTGTAAAATCTATCAGCATTTACCGTTTAAATCGCATATGAACAAAATGCTTGTAGAATCTGTAGTTGTTTTGTATTGTCGATTTCATGTGTGAACGAGCGATAGAGAAGACCATTCTGGCCAAAAGTAATACAATATATTCTAAATGTAATGGGCAGACACTGACAGTGAAGTGAGAATAAAGAGTCACACAACCTCTTTAACTCAGTTAATACTCCGGGTCAATTGTGAGGAGCTTGAACAGGTTGTAGACACTGACAATAGTCAAGATGTCATGATATAAAAGTGTGATCTTCATTCAAATGTAACTGTGCAGACTCTCAAATAAAGCGACTCACCTGAGATATGTTCAGCAAACAGCAAAAACATTATGAGTTTCTTCATCATCAAATCCAGGAGAGAAGTTGATGTCCCGCTGCAGATACCTCAGATTTAGCGGTTTGCATAAAACTGTCAAATGTGTCAACTAAACTGCACTCGAGGGCGCGGCAGGTGTACACCGTTGTGTCATACATTCAACCGATTGGCCGTGTCTCAATTCAGGGAATCAGGGGCTGCACCCTTCGGAGTCCGCAGCCTACGCGGTCCACGGAGGACCCAGCCCTTACGTATAATACACGTGTAGTACTTATACATATGCTTATATTTCACTATAACATGTATATTTATGTAGTATTACTGAGGACTGTTACTAACAGGCTGTTAGTAACAGCTCACAGCTCAGTAACAACTCACTGATACACACCATGGCAACACACACACACGCTCACTCACACTCACACACTGCCCTTTGCTGGCAGCTCTGTGAACACAAAGACAGAACTTTCATTACCATGTTTAGATTCTTTCTGTGTGTGTGTGTGTGTGTGTGTGTGTGTGTGTGACTGACTGACTGACTGACTGACTGACTGACTGTATCTGCAGCTGCTGTCTCACACTGTGTGTCTTTAGGTAGACACACAGTAGGTAGGCTGGACCGAGCGGCCTACGAAATGAGACGGTCTAACCTATTTACGTCACGTGATACGCGCTGTTCGGTTGCGCTGCTCCAGCAGCCTTTTGGAGATCACCGTCGGCGATGAAATAAAGAGAAATTAAATTATATATAGCTTATGTAATTTAATCATTATTTCATATTTAAAATAAGTCTTAATTGTTCTGTACTAATAAAACAATGTGTTTTAAATGAACAAAAGCATGTTGTATAGATTGATTCTTAACAATATTAGTGTTCTTATCTTAATAGCTGTGATTATAACAGTTTATATTCTCCTTCTTCCCCTAAACCAGCCCAGATGATTGAGTTTGAGTAAAATACTTGGTTACTGATTAATTTAGGTTATAATATATGAAATAAATTGCAAAGCAAAACATGCTGTAATTTATTTATTTAGTATTTTTTTAAAGGTTTTCAACCTGAAAGAATCCTAATGTGTCCTTGAAAAGTTGAAATAAAGAAAAGGAAAAAGGATTCCAGTTGTCCATGCGTCCTCTTTTGCCCCTCAAGCCTCTCAAATGTGGGCAAACACTCAAATAAATGCCAAAAACCCAGATAACTTGACAATACTTATCAGAATAAAAGTATGTTAAATAACACTGCTACCTAGTTAATAACTCACTCAGTGGAGGCTCGTCCATTGAAGAAAGGGAGGACCATCCTCCCTAAAATTTCGACAACTGGAATCCTTTTTCCTTTTCTTTATTTCAACTTTTCAAGGACACATTAGGATTCTTTCAGGTTGAAAACCTTTAAAAAAATACAAAATAAATAAATTACAGCATGTTTTGCTTTGCAATTTATTTCATATATTATAACCTAAATTAATCAGTAACCAAGTATTTTACTCAAACTCAATGTATTTAATAGTTAAAGGGGACCTATCATGCAAAATGCACTTTTGTACGTCTTTTATACATGAATATGTGTCCCCGGTGTTCCAGGGAACTCACCAAGTGTCAGAAAACACAACCCTCTCTATTTTCCTCCATACCCAAATCTCTAAAAAAGGGGCTGCAACGGATCTGATAAAAACTGATCCAGATTTGAACACTGTCCTGACGTCAGGACGGTGGCGCTACGGCTATTGGGCCAACTCTCCACCTATCAGGGGAATGTGGGGTTGGGCCACGGCCGGCCATTGCCGCTCGAAAGCGCTGGAGACGCTGTAGTACATATGCCAGGCCTGTAAGTGGCGCTGTAGTCTGCCACAAAAGCAGCGAAGAAGACTTCCCGCGCATGGTTGCCATGGTTACCCTTCTGTTTATTCTCCGCTGTGGCTTTTGTTCTCCCTCCCCGTCGAGGCAAGCACTGTAATTCTCTCCGGTTAGTCCACCAGCAGATGAAAAAACACCCACCTCTCCGCCTCTTCCAAGGAACGAGGGGACCGTGCAGCAGAGTTTCAGTTTCAATCTTCCGGACAAAATTAGAAAAGTGCCAGTCAAAGGTCTTCTTTGTTATTTATTGAGCTTTAAAACAAATGAATAACGACTCTATATAATAATATAAGAATAAAACACGGAGGACGGAGATCTCTTTTTCTCCCCCTCTTCTGACTTGATCAGAGCACGGCTCCCCTCTCCTGCAGGGGGGCGTGGTCAGCTGCAGCTCACAGTATCAGCCCCC